GGAGTGGAGTGCAGCACTTTTAATACATTTAAAATAATATCCACTGGCAACACTACGAAAGAAAAAGGCAAAACTATAATCAGAAATTCAAATAAACTGGTTTTTAATTGGGACTAAAGCATTTTTGATAGTGACATCATGGATTTAGGCTCGTTTGAAATTAACTGTCACTGGACTTAATCAATTATGAAAAAACACAAAGTGACTTAAGCTGTTTTGATGGAATTGGGTAATAAGGGAACGGACTCAGTGTTGGCTAATATAAAAAAAATAAAACACATGCCTAAAATAAAAATCAAAATTTATTTTAAGGACTAAAAATAAGCTAGCAAATAGATATTCAAACATGATTTATTTATTACATAAAATTAAGGATATCTTTAATAGGTATTCAGGATTGTCGTTTCCTGGTATAAGCTGTAGGCTAAAGGCTGAAGTTTCATAATAAAATTTTGTACAGCTTCTCTCTTAGAACGAAAAGCATGGTGTTTTCGGTTTCCTCCACGGTTTTCTGACGGGGTTTTCCCTGTAACTGCAAATCGACTAGAAACGGCCTTGTTTGATTCTTAAAATTTCACAAAATGCAACAAGGCAGACAGGAATTTTTTCTTTTGTTTTGTTCTTAGTAACAAAACATTGCTTAGAATGAGTGCGCCCATTTCGAGTGTTATTTCTTGGTCGTTTTCTGTTGACAGGTTTCAACAGTAAATTTTGTAAAACAAAATTATCTTGAATAATTTTGTCAGGGCGACTGTAAAATCTGTTGTGAAAATAAAATATGTCATTGGACGTTAACGTTTCCCATTTATAAGCACTCTTCTTGTTGTGACGACATTTTTGTGCAACCTTCAGAGTACCTAAAAGTTAAAAAACAAACACATAAAATTTTGTTAATAGGAAAACCACAGTAAAGTACAAACATAATAAGTACCTACAAGCAGGCATATTACATATAGTAGTGAAATACGAATAATAAAAAATTACGCTGTTAGTTACTGCAAACAAGTCGTTTATGATAAATGTATCACTTTATTATGAAATATATATAGAAACTAAAAATCTCTCATGAAGTGACCACGGGTCTCACCTGGGTGGCGGTCGACCGTTAGCAGTCCGGCCCTGTTAACTCATGTTATGAATCTCGCCTCATCATAATCCTACTCAAAACAAAGTGAATTTATAACAGTTAGACTTACAAAACCTGCTGCTTTTTTTCTGTTTTCCATTCCCCTTTAACTTTGGCTTCTTTTTAGCTAATTCTGGACTCACAACACTTATTTTATCTTCCAATATTCTATAAAAACCCATGCGCACGATACAAACACCACGAGAGTAAGACAACAATGGCGGTGGCGGCCATGACACAGCGCAGCGCTGTCTGTGATTGGTTCAGATGGACTTTGGCATGTTTGATCTACACTGCCATTGTGACTTAGGCAGTTATGAAAAAATCCCGAACATTTAGAACCCTATTTGTATGTGAAATAGTAGACTTAGGTCAATTTGATATAAACTGCCATTTTTTATTTTGGCGCCTAAATCAATTACCAAAAATGTTTGAAAATGTCTATGTGACAAGCCATATGTAGCACAATTATACAGTAGAATTCCAATTATCTGAATTGATCCGGACCAAATAAAACCAGGGGTATTTCGTATAGTCAAAAATTCGGATAATCGATTTTAAAGTCAAATAAAACAATATTTAAATTTTAATCAATTTCTATTATGTAATGGGTTTTACATACGTCGTTTAGACCAATGAGTTATACAACACTAGAGGAGCAAACCACATTACCGCGCGTTGAAAAAAGTGTAACCACTATACAAACGCGACGACGTAGCTTTGAAACTAATAACAAATTTGAATAAACATATATCTATCTCACTAACACAAGTTGCGAAAACAATATCGTCGCTAAGATTAGATAAAAATAGACACACAAACATGCAATGGCGAGTTGGTGTGGCTTATTATATGAAATTTTACCTAAAATACGCAATAAAAATGATTTTTAAGCTGCAGTTAATTGTTTTATATTAAAAAAGTATATTTTATTTTAAAATCTTTATTGCATCCCCTTAGAAAAAAAGGATACAAAGCTTATCAGATGAATAGAAGTAAACATAATGATGAAATAAAACATATTTTATAAGTATTTTTATTTTACTAATAAATCAAACAACATAAAGTAGGTAAAAAAATATATTTAATAAATAATTCCTAAATAAACTAAAATAAGAATAATTAATTATTTTGTATGAAAGTTAAAACGTAATTTTTATTATAATTTCCAAAATATTTAAAATCAGAGGTAACAAATAAACTTACTCCATTAACTATATAGTCTCCCATTAATGTAGGATAATCACAAATGCGGAAAAGTGGCAACATTGAACCTAAATGGCAATATTCGATAATTTTATTTAATTATTTGAGGTTTTTTACGTTTTTATGAAAACAAGAACTAAACATTATGTATTGAAAGTGATTCCGCTTGATTTATTACGTTTTTGTAACCTTGAATAGCATTCTTTCACTACGCATTTACCCAGTTTTTGTTGCGGCTCATCTCTGTCGGTGTCACATTGAACACTGAACTGACGTTAACTAGGCATATGGCTGTGGCCATATGTGAAGTGGCAACGCTTTGGCGCGGTTATTACTGATCTAGTGTAATATATAAATCAATGGTTTAGACAATAAGATATCAAAATAACGAGCTATAACCATAATGAGGATATCTAATGAGGATATCGAGAATATCTAGGAGTACATAATATGCACCCACATATGTAATTGATTATAAATATATTGTTATTGATCTTTGACGTAATGAATCACATCTTTTCATTGCAGCTAAGTCCCTGATGCACTTCAGTTGTAACAAGTGTATGAGATCCGATTCGCCCTGACTTTCAAACTACTTAAAAGCAACACCTAAAGCTTCAAAAGTTTCTGCGTGAGATGGTACTTGACAAACATCCCCAGTTTCATTTCAGTCTCTTCTTCATCTTCTCTCGTTACAATTCAAATCGTCAATGATTTGTTCATCAGTTAATATTTGGAAACCAGGGTCTTTAATATCGCAGTTCAGCCACTCTTTGATATTCTATTTATCGTATCTTTCACCAATGCTAAGAATTTTCATTTCTTCTGTTAGTTCTTTGAAATCCTCGTGCGGTATAATTGAAGAATTAGATGGAGTTAATTTCAACAACTTGTTCCATGCCCTTTTTAGTGTTTGCTAGTCCACAGAGTTCCATGCTTCTACCAGCATATAACAACAATCTTTTAAATTAATTTCTTTAAAAATATTTAACATCGTTTCTATGTCTGCTGTCAAAAGACGACGCAGTAACTGCTTTCTGTATAAATGCTATAAAGTTTCCATGAGACTTTTTTTAATGACGCGTCCATCCACGCTTTTTGTTGGTTAGCGTAAGTTAAGAGAATTTTAACATTTTTTTGAAATAGCGCGTATTTTTCGACTTACCAATAAGTAGCAGAGGCTATCGATGTGTTCCTTTAGTGTTCGTGCAAAGCATAACTGTAAGACTATTCTTACTCAATTTGTGCCCCGGTGCTGCATTTTCACAACGCGATGCTAATGATCTGCATGATAAAGCTTTCCAATTAAAAACTGTTTCGTCCGCATTGTAACAAAATCTAAATCGTATTCTTTTCTACTTAGAAATTCTTTTAACTCGTCTAAAAAAAAATCTACTGAAGTAACGTTAGCAGACAGTTTTTCTCCTTGAATCTTCAGTTCTCGAATTCCATATCTAGACTTGAATCTTGCTAACCATCCACAGCTCACCTTGAAAGAAGTATCACTACTAAGCTTTTGATTAAAATCCAGTGCTTTTTCAAATAAAAGAGGTGTATATGGGTTGTAAAACTGTAAAAACTGAGTTCTCCAGAATTTCATTTCGAGATTTTTTTCATGACTTTACGTGCGAGCTTCCATCCTCTTTCTCAAGCGCGCAGACAAATTGCGTTATATAATCAGAATTCTTTTTAATGTACGATATCTTAAAAGTTCCTACACCGCCAACTTACTACCAGATTCACCATATTCTATACTCCCAATTATATTCACTTTGTCTTTAAGGGATAGCGTTGTCAGGCGTCCGGATAAAGCCGGACACAGTCAGGATTTTTGGTTGGTTGTCCTTGTGTCCGGCCTATACATTTATTAGGCATTTGATATTAAGACCAAAAAGTTAAGGGTGTCCGGCCTTTTTCCAAAATGATCGGCAAAGCTCGCTGGTCTGTCCGACTTTTCGGTTTTAAGATCTGGCAGCCCTATTAAGAGACAACATTACTCTTTTTAGATTTCCACTGCAAACGTAAATAAAAATAAAAGAATCTATCAGCTTAACGCTATCAAAGAAAATGAAACAATAACAAATACTATCGCGCAAACAAATGCGAGCAGAAGTACCTACACGTCGGAGGTGGGAGTAAACACGTCGTAACATGTCTCATTGCGCCTTCAAAAAGTTTTTAAATCGGCAATTAAAGCCGTGACGAATCAGTTCGGATAATCGGAATTCTACTGTATTGAATATTGATGCCATGGAGGTGTTCTCTAACCTTCATGATTGATACCAATTGTACGAGTCCATAAACATTAAAAAAATAACTTCTGTTTTCGTAGACAAAGAATGCTCTCTAACATTCTCTGTCTACGTCTCTTTTTATTTTCGAATTATAAAACATATAGCTTTAGTGATATTGTGTTCTTTAAATTATTTAAAATTTTATCTTTGCATAATTAACGACACATTGTGGCAATCATAAAACAATAAATCTCTCTACCCCTTCGAGCATAGAAAATTCTATGCTTAAAGCTCTACCCCAAAACACAAAAACCGAAAAGTGGCAACTGGCAATACTACATTATTTGTGTCAAATTTCGTCAACCCAAGCTGCGTTTGTTTCACAAATGATTGTAACTAATGGATTAAAATAATTGTTTATAAACATAATAAAAATGGCCGAAAAGCCGCCAGAAGAAGGCTACATATCAGTGGTTGACGAAGAACCGGAGATACTTGAGTTGCTAAAGTGGGATTCTTCGCAAACACACAAACAACATGAGCCAACGAGTTTGGAGAAAGCAAAAAGTCCAGAGAAAAAACTTCCGAAGGCGAAAGAGGATATAGATCCGTTTGATTTGACTGATCCCGCGTTTATAGAAACGTATCGTCTCTCTAAAGATTTAGCACGGGGTTTATGTGAAGAATTAAAACCCGTTATGCCGGATTCGACAAAATCCATCGAGTTTTCTGTGGAATGCAAGGTAATTATTGCTGATGCTGTCGTTCAAATTAGTGCTTATAAAATATCTATTTATTTTAGTTTAAATTTAAGACTCGACCTGTAAAAATTACAGTCAATTTTAGGGGCCCAACTTTTATGATAGATAAATTTTGCCTTTGTTAGTCTTGTCTCAAAAAATTGTATTGGAAAATAAATAACTTTCAATAAAAAGTAAAAACTGGCTTTACAGAGCATACAATAAAATAATATCACATTCTGAATATTGCACAGAAGAATTGAAAACCCAATTTCAGAATTATTTTATTATATTCGTTCTTTGAACTCTAATTTTACATTTTATTAAAATTTACTTTTTTACCCTATTGAGCAGACTAAGAAATATCTTAATATGGTGTAAATATATTCTTATAGGCATTTACGACAGGGATACCCCAAAGTGGTTGATATCTACCCCTTTGGGTATGAAATCTGATTCCCAGGGATTCCCACATAAACAAAAATGATAATTTGTAACTGTAATTTCTATTGATAACAATTGATTACACTAGATATTTACTGAATTTTATATCTATTTATTTTGTTAAATTTTGATGAAATGATGTCAAGTTTACTCGCATAACTAACCACAAATTTTTTAAATTGTTAAGTATTTTGTATAAGAATACTAAATAAATAGAAGATAGAAATAGGATTTTAAAGTAATTTGGCTATAGGGTCTAAGGTATCAGTTCATTATAAAAGGGGTCTCTTGCCCAAAATAGTTTGAGAATCCCTGATTTACAATAATAATATATTAAAAACAGTTAAGTAATGCTACATTAAAAAAAAATTGAAAATTTGTATGGGACTCCTGCTAATTAAAAGCTATTTAATAAATAAGTATCTAATCATAAAAATGCATTCTCAATTCATAAAGATTACACTTAACATACATTAAATTTTACTTATTTTATATTATTAACAAAAAATTTGTTCATGTCAGCTGCGATGGGCGACTGTAGTTTACTTCTGAAAAACGATTTTCTGAAAATAATAAATCTTTACTTTGAAATTACCGTTTCTGTTCTGCATTTTTAGCCATTTCAAATCAAAATAATTTTTGTTTGGCTAAGAGTTCTAATTACAAATTAATTTTATTTTAAAAACATGGAATTCTTTTTTCAAAATTAGTCATTTGTTTATTGATTATTGTAATGTTTTCATCACATTAGAATTTTTTTCATCATCATGGATATGTTAAAATTGAATAATAATGGAAGATGTGTAACATTGTGACAGCAACATGGCACAAGTGACATGAACGTTAACGAATTTTACAAAGCGAATACTAAATGAACACACTACATGTTATTGGTTAGCCGGCTTTTGTTCTGGAAGTTTGACCTGAAAAATGAACCCTGTGGTTGACTGAAAAGTGGTCGACATTGAAATAAAGGCGATTGTGGAAGCTGATGATACTTAATCTATGGCTGCATTAGCAGCAAATTTCGACGGTAGGATCAAAACAATATTGATCTATTTGTGTTAAATTGGTAAGGTAAAAAAGCTTAACAATTGGGTGCCCCACAAACTCAATAATTGCCAGCGCGAAGTACGCATCGAGACATACCTTGCACTGCTCAGCAGGCACATAAACAAAGAAGTTTTATAGTGTGGTTACCTACGACAAAAATAGGATTCTGTTTGACAATAGCAAGTGGGACCTTATACTTACACAACAGACTGTGTCCGAATTACAAGAGCTGGGGTTGGAAGCTTACCCTAATCCGCCATACTCACCAGACCTTGCGGCTACAGACTTCTACTTTTCCCAGAAATTAAATCACTTTCTGACAGAAATTTTTTTTAAATCCGGAGAGGTAACAAAGTGATATACAATGCCACCTATCCAGCTGATTTTGTCAAGAATGGCATCAGTAAACTGCCATTATGTTGGAAAAGATGCATTGATTGCATGGGTGATAACTTTGATTAATAGAAATAAAAAATATAGAAAAACAATTATGTTAACTTATTTCATAAAAAATGGCAATTTTGTAGGTAAATAGGCTAATGAAGTAAATGAACCCAAATATTTATTTATATTGATTTGATAAATTATATTAAATTGTAACACAAAAATATATGACTTATATTACATTATTTATTGAATACTGAATACTATATAATGGTCAAATTATGGAAACTGGTCACATATTATGCTAGCCCCACCACACTTTTCACATATTTAGAAAGGGAGAGAGGACGAGAAAATCATAATGGTATAATTTTTTGTTAACTCTTAATTTACCCATGTATTTTTCATATAGTGCACTCAATATGAAACAATTTTTAAGCCTGGCACATACATACGGAATTCCGTTTGTATGTGGCCGACCCGTTTGTTCCGTTTCGGAATTCCGTATTTAGTATGTGGCAAGCCTCAGTTAGGAAACTCCATAAACATAAAATTGAATACAGATCCCTCCTTATTTAAAGTCGCCAAAAACAACTAGTTTTTGAGGAATACCTTTTTAAAATTAGTATCTCATTTGTGTCAAAATTACAATATTTTTTTATATTTAGAAGCATAGAATACCATTGTATAATACCCGCTAGATTGCTTGCGTAAAAAAAATTGGTAGCTTACTTTGCCAGTAAGTTGGGACTTATTTCTCACGTTCGACCCGCCGTCAATAAAACTTAATTTAAGACTTACTCGAGAGGAGCACTTCAAATATTTTAAATTTTATGAATAGCCATTGAAATAAGACAAGAAGATATGTACGTTATTCTATGAAAATATGATTACAATGTTGAAATCACAAGTACAAGCCATTTTGTAAAACATCGGGTTTATCAAAAAAATAAGATCGATAAGTGTATGATTATTTATTATATCCTTAAACTTAATGAATTACTTGATATATTTATCTATATTATAAAACGATTTATATTTAAATACACAGTAAAAATATTAAGTGAAACCTGATGAAGAATTCACGGATTGCGCAATTGATCGCTATTTGTTAGTTAAAATCTAGGCAAATACCACTACGACTATTTCGTATTTAAAGAATACAACATAATTACGATAATGTAAGCTATAGAAAATTATGTTTAGATTCGCGTTATTCTGAGTATTTTTAAAAGTCGACTTTATTACATTTTTCATACAGTATTTGCAAAAATATTACTTTAATACAAGAAAACACTAATAAGACATTAATTTGGTATATAAATACTAGCAAAAATCAATAAAATTCAATACTCACGGCATATTTTATCACCTCGTACAAGGTAACTTTAACTAACAAAGTTTCGATATTTTTCGTCCAAGAGGTTGGTAATTTTGATCCAAATCTATGATTTATATATTTGTTTTTGGTTTTAATACATAATAGTTAGACTCTGTGCGTTTAAAATACGGTCTAAATTCAATTAAAAGAACTTCGTCGCCTTGTAACCACAGTTGCAAAGATCAAAGTTAAGGATTCTGTTTTTGCAACTGTGGTTGCAAGAAGCAAACGAGCAGATACACAATAGAATGGCTGTCAACCTTACTTTGTAGGAGGATTGGCGTCGCCGGCAGCACACATACAAGCAATTACGTCGTATTATCAGTTATCACTACAACAAACACATTTTAAGCTTTTGATTCATGTTTTTGACACATAAATGTTTCTTTATTTTTGTTTCTAATATTCACAAAATATAAATAATTTAGACTTACTGGTTTTAGAATATGTCTCCGTTAATTAAATTTCATTTCCGGCTGTTCTTTGCCCATGTAATTATTGCACAATTTGCCATTTTTTAAATAATTTGCATGCAGCGACGCTTGACACGAAAATTGTAAATAATTGATTGTGTTGACATTTATACATTAGAATTGACATGTTAGTGGCTACACGGGTTCAGCCCACTCCCCTGTTCTATTATGTATATATTATAGTATTCTATGATTTAGAAGATATGACATTTTGATGTGAATTGTTATGATCTACAATTAATCTTTTAAAATTTTAATTACTTTAAAAATCTTTGAATTAATTAATTTATACATGGTAGAGCTATGCTGCAGCTATATTAATTATATAGTTGTAGCACGAATGGGTCGGCTCGACCGGGGAAGCACCACACTTTCACAGAAGACCAGCGTGAAATAGTAGCTTAATGCTGCTGTATTTCGTATGGTGAGTGTAGAGAACCGGAGACCCTTTTTACTGGAAACGAGGCATTCCATATTAGTCCTCATGGGTGACAACGCATCTGTATTTGGTTTTGTAATCGAGGATACATGTAGATGTCTATAGGCCGCAGCAACCACTTACCATCAGGTGGACTGTGTGCTCGTTTGTCACCCTATTCTATAAAAAAAATATTGTATTTATGTTACATTATTTCTGTATAAATTATATAACTCAATTTTTTTTTGTTTACTATCATTCAAAATGTAAATAGGTATTTTAGGAATGAAAAAGGTATTCTAGGAATTTCATAATTTGAACAATGAAATAAAATAAAAATTAAAAATATGCATAATTAATAGAGATGGGCCGAATATGAATTTTACCGAATACGAATATTCGGCTGAACATTCAGTAAAAATTTTACCGAAACGAATATTCGGCCGAACGTTCGATAAAAATTTTACCGAAGCGAATATTCGGCCAAACACTTCGGCAGGATCATCTCAGTACCTAACCAATTTATGTCAAAACTTGTTACCGCAAAGCGCGCGGTATTAGCGTCGGACCCTGCTCCTCGCTTCCTGGCTGACATGTTATTGCATCAACTAGTACTGTGCAAATAGCCGGCACGTGCTTTTGTTTTGACTATTTTTGTAAGAAAAAACTATTTCGTTGTGTTATTCTTAGAGAAAATTGATAATTATATGATAATAATGAGTGACTTATTTTAGACAGACTGATGACCAAAGTAAAGTGAAATGTACTAATGTAATGTAATGTTTCTTTGTTTGATTCCTAAACATTTTATCAAGCGTTATATTTATATATAACGGAATATAATTGGAAATAAATCGACAGTGCCTAAAAACCATAACGCTATACAAGTAGATTTAACCCAGAAATAAAATACACTTTCAACAGTAAAATTATGAAAGACATGGCATTACTCAATTCGTCCATTTCAATACAGTGGACACCTTGAGTAGCAGTTTAACGATTGTTCGGTGATTTAGCCGAATATTCGGCCGAATACGAATATTCGGTAAAGATATGCCGAAGCCGAATACCGAATATGAAACGAATGTTCGGCCCATCCCTAATAATTAATAGTTTTGATACAGTATTCGCAAAATATTAATTGCAATTCAGCAAATAATTTTTTTGCAGTAATTTCCTTTCATTAATTCTAACTGATAATAACAGTAGAAACAACTAGAGATGGGCCGAATATGGATTTCGCCGAATAAGAATATTCGGCCGAAAGTTCGGTAAAACTTTTACATAACCGAATATTCGGCCGAACATTATTCGGCAAGATCACCTCGATCTCCACAATTTATGTCGAAACTTGTTACCGCCCCTCGCTCGCCCGCCACACCTGACTTGTTATTTATTGCATCAGTACTGAGTAAATTGCTGGCACATGCTTATGTTCTGACTATTTTAGTGAGAAAAAAAGTATTTCGTTCTTATTATTTTTAGTGAAAATTTATAATTATATAATAAAAATGAATAGCAGGAGATCTACTATTTGAACTTATTTTAGAGAAAGTGACGACCAAAGTAGTGAAATGTACTAATGTAATGTTTCTTTGTTTGTTTCCAAAAACATTTTATCAAGCTTTCTATTTGCTATAATTGGAAATAAATATACAGTGCCCAAAAACATAATGATATACAAGTAAATTTAACCCATAAGTAAAATATACTTTCGACAGTAAAATTATGAAAGACATGGCATTACTCGTTCATACATTTCAATACAGTGATAATTTGAGTACCACTTTAATGAATGTTCGGAATCTCTAGAAACAACATTGAAACCTATTTTCGCAAAATTGTTATTTTACTATATAACTATATTTAATTTAATTATTCTAATACTAACTAAAGATAATTATCTTTTTGTTGCAACCAAAGATTTTTGTTTTTACCACCAGGTTTTGGCAGCCTTATCATTTTATGCAACAGGAAAGTATCAGAAATCAGTTGGGGGCAAGACCGACCCCAGTATCACCCAATACTTTGTCTCTACGGCTGTCTTGCAGGTTACGGAAGCCATGAATCACCCAACAATTGTGAAGAAATATATACATTTTCCTCATCTGAGGAATGAAAGAGACATCATTAAAACCAGGTAATTTTTAACAAAATCTTCATAAATTTGATATGGTACCAAAACCATGCTAAGCTAGATTTTTTTCTTTAAGCTAACACAGTGCGAGCATAGTTATTTACTTATTAGGTATATAATGTGTTAGTAATGTTCTTTTATGACTAAAGAATTATAATTTAAATTTTCTCTACTACCTTTTTCAATTACCTTTACAAAGAGGCGAGAATATTAGTGATATAAGAAAAATAGCTCCTTCAAATTTAGAAATATGTTTTAGTATTGTGTCATAAAAATGGTCATACATTCATGGGATAAGGAAAGAAAAACATAGCACTAAACTACATTGTGTTTTATTAAGTAATTAAATGACATATCATGTATTACTTTTGGTAAGTGAAAGAAATTGATCAATATCTTCAAACATCTCTAAAATAAATAAATTATCTCTTACTTTGTTGTGATCAACATCAAATTGATTTTTTTATATCCCATCCATAATGGCCTGTAATAGCTTACTCCTGAACGGACTCCTCCATAGATGGTATTTTTTGTTTTATATACATTTATATTGTAATTCTGACTACAGACTGTGTTCACTCCAAATAAATTGACCAAAAAAAGTATTAGACACATTGTTTTGCAGCCATCATATTGGTATCTTCTTCATACTCAGCTTGTCATGGACCTCTCCCCTTATAGGGGGGAAAAGCCTTTTTAAGCGACTGCAAAAAGGAGGAGATATTCTCAATTCGAATGTATGTTTTTTGTATGTTTTACCTCAGAACTTTTCTCTGGGTGAATGGATTTAGATGATTCTTTTCTTATCTGAAAGCTGGTGCTTCTCGTGTGGTCCCATATAAATTTAATCAAGATCTGTCCAGTAGTTTTTGAGTTATCTTTAACTTCGAATATGTTGATGTTCTCATTTTAATTATATCGAAGTCGTTTGTACACATTTTTTAATTTTACCAGTTGTTAACTTTACTAGGATTTTCTCATGTAATGTGGAGGCAGTTACATACATAAGTTTCACAAGGACTAACTTCCAGACCTATAATAATGATTCGGGGCCACATAGATTATTGTTGAGCCTTCATCAGCTCACTGCTAGGCCGTTGCACCACAGAGACATCAGAATCCTTTGCATTGCTGGCCGTTGCCAGTCTGAGTATTTTAGGCCTGGGTGTCAATAAGATGGTAATATTGCTGACTATCAGAAACCACAAGCTATTTTCGGCTTTATTTCATAGTAGCCTTTCAACATCCACAGGACAAATTGAGGTGATAAATTCTCTAAATTCAATACCACACCATAAAATTACTATAATAACCAATGAAAACGGTCCTTGGGTTAGTAGTCTTTTTTATAGAATAAGAGTCACAAACGAGCGCAGAGTCCACTCGATTGTAAATGGATGATGTGGCCTATAGACATCAACATTTATCCTCAATTAAGAATCAAATGCAAATGTATTGTCACCCCTGAGGACTGAGATGAAATTCCTCATTAACAGTAAAAAGGGTCTCCAGTTCTCTACATTACAGTACATTTGCTGTACAAAACTGTATACCATATATGTACTGTATTCTGTGAAAGCATGGTCCCACCCCGGTCGAGCTGACCCATTTGTGCTTCAACCATAATAAAGCTGCAGTGTGGCTCTACCATAGAGTAGAATAATATATACAAAAATAGAGAGCCATCTCCTAGGATTTTTTGTCACCTAATATGAATAGTGTCGCCGTCTGGTATCATATCAGTTGAACTAATCTCAATATTTTGACCATATATAGCTGTATGTAGTTATGTATATACAGCAATCTATACTATAGGCGGTTATATTTATATTTTAAAGGATTAGGGTTCAATTAAATACGTATTATAGATTTCAGTAATATAAACCATTTATTTTTGTTATATATATTTAACAAACACGATGTAAAAGCGTCTATTCCGCAAAATACAACACCAAACCAAATTCATTATGTCCACCGGGTTACCAGAATGATAAATGAAAGCGTCTATTTCGCACAACACTACACAAACATACAATGTGTTTCCAGCATGAAAATCTAAACAGACAACAAGAAACAGAGGGCTAATGCCAACTCAACCAAACTTATTGTTGCAACAACCGAAAATCACATAAATGGCAAAAGCGTTCGTGAAAACATCTTGCTCACACGCCGGTAGCCATTATGTCATATAAAGTTGCTACTTACCAGTTCGAGAATAACGCACATTTTAGAATTTAATGTTCGAAAGTTTATGCGGATATTGTATAAGATGGCACTAGTGTCTGCAAATTATTGGACCCCAACCTAAAGTACGGAAGTGTACCCCTCCCCCCTGGGCTCTACCATGTAACAAATTCGATTAATTAATTAAATATATATATATATATGTGTCTATTTAGAAAAATTAAAATAATTTTCATTTCAGGTTCTACATGAAATATGGCATGCCCAATGTAGTGGGGTGCATAGACTGCACGCATGTTCCCATCGCGCGGCCCGATGACGACCAGAAGAGGCATTTCAACAAGTCTTACCATTCCAAGAAAGTACAGATTGTAAGTGCTTTTCATAAGTTATGTGCGGGGGAGATTAACTGGAGTCTGTGAGTTAACAACTATCCAACAAGTAGACAATGTCACCTAAAGGGTAGTAGTAGTTGTGGGTCGTTGTCGAATTTATTACGATCGAAATTCAACCGTTTCCCCGGCGACGAAAACGGTTGCAGAAAACGATCGCCGTTGCTACTGGTTTGGAGGCGACTTATAGGATGAAACTTATCCAACATGGAATAGAATTGCGTTTTCCTTGAGTGAAATGGTTGCAGTTTCTTACAACTATCAACGATTTTCGACTTTCCTAAAGTTTGTAAACGAATGCGGAACCAAGACTATCAATAAAACCCGGAGCGTTAAGGACGACGACGCGACGAGTGAGATAGATAGTTGAACCATTGCGTTCTCGACTGTATTTTCATAGGTGTAAAATAAAAAATCGCACCAAGTAATTCGAAAACTGGTTTGTACAACAAAGACTGAACCCAGGACGTAAAACGGTTTTATCATCGCAGAACACAAAAGGGTCTTTGTAAAGGTTCGTCGTCGCAACGCCCATCCCTAAGTAGTAGTTTCACCTAGACTATAACATATTTTATTTTTTTATTAACAATCTCAAAGTCCACTTGATGGTTAATGGATACTGATCCTGGACATCTGAAACCTAGTTTAAACAAAGAAGGCTACACATGCGATGTTTCCTCACAGCCTGTAATTATACTAACTCTATATTCTTCAGACTGGAACGCAGCAGTGCACAAGTACAGTTATTTTGTGGCCGAAATAGTAATACCTTTAAAGATGAACTAGTAGGCACAAATGAGTTGTGATATGACTTTTCTGCCTACTAGTTATATGCAGTTAGATTGTCAGTTTGTTGAACAACATCTGTATGAAAAGGTATCAAGATTAGATTTTGCCCAGAAATTGTAAAGCCACAATCTATATGCGTCCCATAACTGGCCATAATCTTCTCTTTTCTGATATCTGAAAATCTTATGGAGAAATTAGTCCACTGTAAAGCTCCAGTTCGTGTTGCCAGACCAGATGTCCTTAAAATATTTTATTCCTCAAACATGCACGTTTCCGCACGTTGTTTTCACTCACCGCCTAGCATGTGGGAGATGAGCATTTAAAATTTCACTTATCTATTTCATTGCTGCCTGGAATCTAATCCAGGTTGCTTGTGTACTAAACTCACAGAACTTTTGGCCTCTGAGTTACCAGAACTAAATGAATTTATGGTTAAAGTTACAGCTTCCTTTTTATCATCGTCCTGTATAACCACCTTTATTCTTGCACTAGTCAATCAAATCATTCTATACACATGCTGTATTGTCAGAAAATTCTTACAGTGTGGACAAGTAATATAAACATTAATATATACTTGATGACTTTTTTAATATCTAGAAAAATATGGTGTAACATGTGAATGGAGTAGAAGCCTATGGCACTGATATTTTACAAAAAATAAAAACAAAAATTTTGAAATAAACATCTGAAAGCCTATGGCACTGATATTTTACAAAAAATAAAAACAAAAATTTTGAAATAAATATCTGAATGCCTATGGCACTGATATTTTACAAAAAATAAAAACAAAAATTTTGAAATAAACATCTGAAAGAAATTACTTTGCCCTTTGCCCTTGAGCCTGTGTCCCTGCGAAGTGTCAAGGTCAACTGACTGAATTTTTCCTATTGAAGGCTTGTTGATTGGTGGATGCTGTAGCAAACACTTTTCCCAAGGTGAGTTGCTCCGCATCGCTGGTCTGAGTGTTTGTCATCAGGTATAATCATGATGTTATATGTATCTATTATCAAGAGTAGAATTAGGCGTTATTTTGCGGAAATAAATGTTATTTAATTGGTACAAATTACTTTGCTTAAATCTGCTTAATTAAACAAAATTAAATGAAATGCATCTTGGCAATCAGCCACCCCAGAGTCTACTTCACTTGAGGATGCCTCGTGTATAGGCGAAACATATGTCTTGTTATCGACGATGGTGTGTCATTTCTAATGTAGTTGTGTTGGGAGTAGTGGTGCTAGGATTAGCGCACGCAATTGAGGGAGAGCGGGAGGTACTTTGAGAACTAGGTAAGACACATCATTTTATTTCATTACGCGGATAGAAGCAAAGTAATTTGTACCAACTTAAATATATCTGTTGTAATCAAAAACATTTTTTATAGGATAAGAAAACAAACGAGCACACAGTCCACCTGATGGTAAGTGGTTGCTGCGGCACATAGACATCTAAATCTATCCTCGATTACGAATCAAAATGCAGATGTGTTATCATCCGTGAGGACTAAGATGGAATGCCTCATTTCCAGTAAAAAAAAAGCCTCCGGTTCTCTACACTCACCATAGGAAAAACAGCAGGTAAAGCTGTTATTTCACTGTGAGCGTGGTCCTTCCCCGGTCGAGCCGATCCATTCGTGCTACAACTATACTTATAGCTGTAGCGTGGCTCTAACACGTAATAATTTTTTTTATTTTAAGTCGCAACCAGACAGCACAATTTGACATCAAATAATATAATATCATAATATAATAGTTGCTTATTCTGTCATCCATCCATTGTAGCCTATTAAAAGTCCACTTTTTTATAGGATAAGGTGACAAACGAGCATACAGTCCACCTGATGGTAAGTGGTTACTGTGGCCCATAGACATCAACATCTATCCTCGATTACCAATCAAAACGGAAGATGCGTTGTCAGCCGTGAGGACTAAGATGGAATGCCTTGTTTCCAGTAAAAAGGGTCACCGGTTCTTTACAATCAACTTAACACAGCAGCATTAAGCTACTATTTTACGCTGGTATTCTGTGATTATCTTCCGCTGCTGAACATTTTCCTCTCACATTACCTCATATAGGGGATGTTTGGTGTAATGTGTCATGCTGGGCAGGCGGATCGCAACTGCAGTTTTTATTTTTATTTTGAATTGTTATCAGGAAAATGTCGCTGCCCATCTATTTCATTTCCCTTTGTTGACTCTTACGACATCCACGGGATGATAGGGGGAAAGTGGATTCTATTACGCCGTCATTATACGGCGATTCCTCACATTGAATCAATTTTAAAGATCAGACATTCAATTTTACAGATCTGCGACAGTGACTTAAATATAATAAGTGTGGAAGCGAAGCCGGGCGGGTCGTACACACATGACGCTATATTGAACCAACACGCTGTAAGGATCGACCTTGAGAGCCTTAATCATTCCGGAGAGCAGTGTTGGCTTATCGGTAATATATTATTATGACATATTATTATTTTATTTGAATGCATTGCTGAAATATAGGTTACAATTGATAGAAAAAACATAGATCAATATATATATATATATATATATATATATATATATATCATCATCATTACAGCCCTTCACAAGTCCACTGCTAAACATAGGCCCCCAAGTAACGCCACAAAGCACGGTCCTGAGCCACCTGCATCCATCGACTTCCTGCATGTCTTACCAGGTCGTCACTCAATCTAGTGGGGGGTCGCCCTACACTACGCCTACCGGTACGAGGCTGCCACTCGAGAACCTTTCTTCCCCATCGGTTATCGGTTCTTCGAGCTATATGGCCGGCCCATTGCCACTTCAGCTTACTAATCCGTTGGGCTATGTCGGTCACTCTGGTTTTACTGCGGATATCCTCTTTTCTGAGTCTATCACACAGAGAAACTCCGAGCATAGCCCTCTCCATAGCTCGCTGAGCGACTTTGAGCGTCCTCTTACGGCCAGCAGTGAAGGACCACGTCTCTGATCTGTAAGTCATCACTGGCAACACGCACTGGTTGTACACTTTAGTTTTCAGAGATTGAGGTACACCTGACGAATGGATGTGTCGTAATTACCCGAACGCTGCCCAGCCGAGTTGAATCCGTCAATTGACCTCTCGGACGAAGTTGGACTTACCTAGTCGGACTATTTGTCCCACGTAAACGTACTCGTCAACAACCTCGAGCATAGTGTTCCCAATAACTACCGGCATAGGTGTGACATGGACATTAAACATGATCTTTGTTTTGTCCATGTTCATCTTAAGACCTATCCATTGGGAGACACCATTGAGGTCATTGAGCATAGTGCTAAGGTCCTCCAGCGATTCTGCCATAAGGACTATATCGTCGGCAAATCGAAGGTGAGTGATGTACTCGCCATTGATGTTAATACCGTATCCTTTCCAATCCAGTAGCTTGAAAACGTCTTCCAACGCAGCGGTGAAGAGTTTCGGGGATATAACGTCACCTTGTCTTACACCTCTCTGCAGTTGGATAGGTTTCGTACTCTGGTTCTGTACTCGGATAGCCATCGTAGCCCTACTGTACAAACACTTCAGCACTTCGATATACCGACAGTCAACTTGGCACCGCTGAAGGGACTGTAGCACCACCCAAATTTCGACGGAATCAAAGGCTTTCTCATAGTCCACATACGCCAGGCAAAGTGGCAGATTGTACTCTTCGGTCTTCTGTACAATCTGCCGCATGGTATGTATGTGGTCTATGGTACTGAAGCCTTTTCGGAAACCGGCTTGTTCGGGAGGCTGGAAGTCGTCGAGTCTGCGTGCGAGACGATTCGTAATGACTCTCGAAAACAGCACGTAGACGCGGCTCAGAAGGGAAATCGGTCTGTAGTTCTTTAAGAGAGCGTTGTCGCTTTTCTTAAAGAACAAGACCACCGCACTTCTGCTCCACGCCTCCGGAGTAGTGCCACCATGGAGGACGGAATTGAAGAGTTTCTGAAGGACTTCAAGTACCGGTGTTCCACCCGCTTTCAGAAGCTCCGCTGTAATTCCATCCTCGCCTGGGGCCCTGCCGTTTTAAGGTGCTGGAGAGCCATTCTAATCTCGCTCAGACTGACGTCCGGGATATCATCGGAATAGTGTCGGGTAAGACTTGCTCTTGGATCGTTACTCACACTTGCGTGTGGCTCCAACGATGATGTGTACAGCTGCCCATAGAACCTCTCAATCTCACTCAAAATCTCAGGTGTCCCGGAAACGATGCTGCCACACTCAGTCTTCAGCTTTGACAGTTGGCTCTTTCTGGCAGACAGATCTCTGGCAAAGACTTTGGAGCCCTGGTTCCGCTCGATCGCTTCTTTAATACGAGCAGTATTAAAGTTGCGTAAGTCTCGCCGCACGCATTTGGAGATCTGTCTGTTCAGTTGCCTGTATGCTGTCAAATCTGTTGACGATTGCAGCCTCATCTCCCGTCTAACAGCCATGAGATTAAGAGTGTGATCGGAGAGTTTTTGTGTTCTTCTGCGGCGGGTCTTGCAGAACTTAGCTCCGACCGCATGGACAGTTTCCACGAGCTTGTCATTCATATCGTCCACTGCATTGCAATCTTCTAGGCACTGAAAGCGGTTACGTAACTCGAGCTGAAAAGTCTCGGGATTCTGGATTAGAGCACGAGGGGGACGGAGCGTTGACTTCATTAGACGAGACCTCTCCAACTTAACGTTTAGGTTCAGTGTGCCTCTAACCATTCGGTGATCGCTGCCGGTTTTCACCCTTTCGATGACTGAGACATCACTGAACAGTTGGAGTCTGGTCGTCATAATGAAGTTAATCTCATTTTTTGTCGAACCGTCGGGGCTCGACCAGGTCCACTTCCTGTGGGGCCGCTTCTGGAAGAAAGAGTTCATCATAAAGAGTCCCTCTTTCTCCATAAAGTCAGCCAGCTGCTGGCCCCTACGGTTTCGTTGCCTTACTCCAAATTTCCCCACCTTCAACTCACTGCTTTCTCTTGTGCCCAGTTTTGCGTTGAAGTCTCCCATCAACACCGTGTAGTGGGTTTTGGAGGAATGTATGGCTCTGGAAATATCCTCATACATTTCCTCCACCTCCTCATCGGGATGTGCCGAGGTTGGTGCGTAAACCTTTATGACCTTCAGCGAATACCGTTTGGTGATTCTGAGTATCAAGTACGTGACCGTCGTCGACACACTCCCAATATTTACAACGTTGTTGACGAGAGACTTGTGGACGATAAATCCGACACCTCCTTGGGACAGATGGTCGCCCTCCCGGTGATAGAACAAGTTGCCGGACTCGAGGATTACCGTGTCCTCCTCCTCTCTTCGGACCTCAGATAATCCAATAATATGCCAGCGCAACTTGTCTACCTCTTCTTCCAGCTCCAGTATCTTCTCGTCAGTCCTCAGGGTGCGTGCGTTATACGTTGCCAGGTCGAGTCGTCGTAGGTGGCAACCGAACCTCCACCGGAGATTCTTAGCACCCCCTGCCCCGCCGTTACCATGGTCGCCACCGTAGCCAGGAATAGCGGGGCCGCCGGGGACTGGGGGCCGTTTATTTGCGTCGTTGATCATGGGGGGATAGTTGCCACGCTTGGCGAGCGGGTTGGCAACCGCAGTTTTTTATTATGTTGTTGTTGTTATTAGGATGATACTGCTGCCCATCTCCTTCCTGTGTCCTTCTGTCGCCTCTTACGACACACTGTTATATATATATACAGAGTGACGATGAAGATATCACATTAAATGAAAAGACGTATCCTAAATAACGTTCTTTAAACATACATAATTAAAAAATGTAACAATTAACATCCTATGCCCAGTAATAATTTTTTTTTCGATTTAATATTAAACATCATGTAAATGCATATATTTGTCACCTGACGAATACTAAAAGGTCAAAGACCCATGACCGGCAAAGGCGAATTATAGTTCAAACGTCGCCAATCCGAATAACTCAAATAAAGAAAAAGGAGCAAAAAATGTACTTAAGTCAAACGATTTAAGACTTAATTCTTATGAGCCAAATTAAAAACAAAGGGACTGCGCGCTGATAAGTTTCTCGATTTGATTACGTTAATAGGATAATAATGGATGCGAAATTGGACGCTTACTTTTATTGTTTTGTATTTTTTTGTTTGTGATGGGACACGTTAATAATACGCTAGATAAAAATCATATTTAATAACTTAGTGAAGTGGTGTGACATTTACTTTTTAACGTTTTAACTTTTTCTAAGTTTTGAGATACCTCGTATCAATTTCACGTCGTCGGAATAAACCGACATGATTTTGATTTACGGAGAATGCCACCAAAACGCGGCTCTAGCATTAAACAACATTTAATTATTAAATTTGATTTGATGTAGTTATTAAACTTCAGTGATTACAAGATTAGAGTGATTATTTGGATAAAACAATATCATAAAGTTTATGGTTTGTTGATAATATCGCATTAGCATCGCTCTACGCGTGCCTAATTCCCTATGTACGGGCAAGTGTAGGTATCGCTGCGCCGTTGCCGTTTTTACAGTTACTTCAGGTCAATAAACTCATATTATCCAGCATGATTTATTTCGTGTAATATTTTAAGCTATTTATTTTGTTTGAAAAATGCACTTTTTTATTTTTTATATTATTGTTTATTATATTATTTCAACAGACGTATATCAACTTGCATTTACTGCTGCGTTATGAAATGTGATAACCTAATCTCCACCCAGTATATATATATATATAACAGTGTGTCAAAGAACTTCAGTTATTATAAAAAATTAATTACCTATTTTTCATTTGAAAAAATTTCTTTGTGATATATAGTCTATTTAGTTAGGATAGAAATAATTTGATTCAGTGTAGCCGTTTTTGAAACATCAGTAAATATGCATTGAAAAATGTGTCAATTACAGAACCTATTTTTTTGAAGTTGGCTAAAATTGTATGAAGGTGTCTAGCAAAAAGTGTGGTTGCCTACGCGGATCGTTTTAGAGGTCAAGATTTGTAGAATAAAGAGTAAAATAATGAAATGAAAATATTTATGATCCACGTGTTCGAAAAGCAACGTGTGCGTCGTTAACAATAAGCTTTAAAGTAACAGCCTATATACATTCCACTGCTGGGCACAGGCCTCTTTTCATTTCCGAGAGGGTTTAAGAACAAGGAAAAGTCCGCTGCGCTGCCCCAATGCGTGTTGGCGAACTTTACAAGTATTTAAAATATATTTCTTTCTTATATCTTGAAAGCAATGAAACAAAAAACCACTAGTGTTTTTTTTGTGCTTCTTGGTCTGTACACGTCGTTGATATTGCTTGCCGGCTTTGCAGCATTCGTGCCACAAAACAAGTAATTTCGAAAATAGTGCAAATTTATCAGATATATATATCAAATGATGGATACAACAATGAAGGAAAACAAATGAACGGCAAATTTCAAAGCTAACTAATATAAGAAAAGGGCAATTGTATGGGTAGGGTCTTGCAGGTGCTATTACTATATTTTTAACAAAATTTCAGATCAAAATTTTAATACCTTTTTGACCCTGCCCTGCCAAAGGTGGCGATCCTGTTTTTTTATAGCATTGGGTGACAAACGAGTACACAGTCCACCTGATGGTAAATGGTTGCTGTGGCCCATAGACATCTACATCTATCCTCGATTACAATCAAAATGCAGATGCGTTGTCACCCGTAAGGACTAAGGTGGAATACCGTTATATTCGTTTCCAGTAAAAAGGGTCTCCAGTTCTTTACACTTACCATTCGAAACACAGCAGCATTAAGTTACTATTTTACGCTGGTATTCTGTGAGAGCGTGGTACTTCCCCGGTCAAGCTGACCCATCCGTGCTATAACTATACTACTAATACAATTGCAGCATGGCTCTACCACATATGATGTGTATCCTGTAATTATATCAACCTTTATTTTGGTTTATTGGACACTCAAGAGCTTATATTTTAATTTAACCAGGATTTGCAATAATATACCATATTATTTGTTCACTGGAAAACACAACTCAGGATCTGGGAAATTGAATTCTTGTACTGTTTTTTTAGATATTTTATTATTTTTTGCAGGTAGTCCACATTACTCACAGAAACCGTACCTCATGACACCAGTCCCGAGGATCACGAAGAAGTCCCCTGTGTCACCTGAGAAGTACTACACAAATGTCCACAGTCAAACGCATCAGTCTGTAACGGACACCATTAAGCACCTAAAATCGCGATGGAAATGTTTGCAGGCGACTTGCAACAAGCAGTTTGATCCGCAGACGGTGTCAATGTTGATTGTAGCTTGCTGTGTCCTTCATAATATTTGCAACAGACAAGGCCTCCCTGTGGTACCAATGACACAAACCGAGGAGAGACTTGAGGCCATGAAACAGAAGGTGGCCAACAGCCCGATATCAAGAAAGCAAGTAGAAGACCCGAAAGGAGTTCAAGCTAGAGCCATATTAGTTGACAGGTTATGGAATGAGCGTAGAATCGCTCCAGAGTCTTGTGCTGGACCGAAGAAACGTCAGAAGAAAGATAAAGTTGTGGAAAGTCATCCGCCTCAGATGATCCATCCGCAGCAGATGATGCAGCCTCAAATGCATCATGAAGACCCCAGTAAAAGGCCGAGAATTGTAATGAATAACCCAACGTATTGTTTAGGGATGGCGCCAGGGTGGGGGCATTATCCCCAACATTAATTCTGTCAGTATTAAAATGTATACAGGGTGTAACAAGGAGGGTGGATCATTCGAAGCTATGCGTTGGGGGACCTCACTATCTGTAAAGAGATCGAAGTTTGATAAATTAATATTTGAGAGACAACTACATAATGTTTTTGCCATTTGCTGTTGAGACTATCGGTCCATTGGGCTCCACGTATGGCGAAGTTCCTAAAGAAAGTATCCGCGACTTGTCGTCGGCGCTGGTGATAAGAGGGCAGGTTCTTTTCTCGCTGAAAAGCACTATATATTCTTTATTTTATTATTATAGTAAATATTGTATTTAATTTTTTTAAAGTCCCGCTGGTTTTCTTGCTGGTTCTTCCCATGGCATACATTTTTCCCGAACCAGTGGTAAGGTAAAAAATGACTCAATAGGAATTACATACATGTGAAATGAAAATATTCTATGTATAATTCTATACTATAGTACGCCTTAATTATTGCAGCTAAATTATTAATTTCAGATTGCTGTTTATTTTTCTTAATATAAAAATTCCATAATATAATTGTAGTATGAATGGTTCGGATCGCCCGGTGAAGGACCACCCCCACAAAATACCACCGTAAAATAGCAGCTTAATACTGCTGTGTTTCTTATGGTGAGTGTAGAGATCCGGAGACCCTGTTTTACTGGAAACGAGGCATTCCATCTTAGTCCTCAAGGGTGGCAACGCACCTGCGTTTTGATTCTTAATCGTGGGTAAATGTAGATTATTGATAGAGAGATTTTTTTTTGCGAACCAGTGGTAAATGTTCAATAAGTATTGTTATAATCTACATTGAATAAAAAAGTTTCTGTATCTGTTTCAATCGAGGATAAATGTTGATGTCTATGGGCCACAGCATCCACTTACCATCAGGTGGACTGTGTGCTAGTTTATCACCCTTATTCTATAAAAATAAAAACATCAAAATCCACAAACATCGTAATTTTACGAACATCAAATTACTATTGATGTGGGTGTCTTCATAGCAGGAGTAAATAGGCTTTTGTTAGGCTAAGTTAGTGCGCTTTAACATCTTCGACTGCATCACCGCTTGCTGTTAAGTGGAAAAGTAGTAAAGCACTGCTAAGAATAGTAAAAAAATCCTATCAATTATTGAACATACATTATTGGGGAACATACATTACTCATATGTACTGAGTTTCCCTATTGTTGTATTTCGAATAATCCACCTTATGTGTTACATCCCATATATTGTATTGTAAGCTAATTTTAAATAAGATTTTCAAAATACAGTGGATTTCGGGTATAACGACGATGAAGGGACCACTCAATTTTCGTCGTTATATCCGGAAGTCGTTACAGGCAAAGGTAAAGAGATACAGTCACGTACAAATGTGTAGTTTATATTCATTTATTATTGAAAATATTTGCACACATAGTTATTCACTGGTACATTTCAAAATGCTACTCTGAATATCACTTTATACTCTTAACTTAACTGAACCATAAAACTCTGAAACGTACACGCTCTCCTACCTACTTAGTTGATATCTATAAATAAAAGATAAAGGTCTCCACACTTGGTGACCATCTGTGTAGATGTAAACAAAAGATAAGAAATTTTTGTGAAAAAAAAAATAATTCTTTGTGTCTTTGGCGGCCGACTCCGGTCGCAATATCTGCATGGAATTTCTAAGAATTTGTTACAAATTATTCATCAAAAACAGTCGCTATAACTGAACTAAGCGTTACATCCAATGTCGCTATAGCCACATGAATTTTGTACTAAAATATGCTTTAGATTCGAGGGACTTAGATTTAACGTCGCTATGGGTAAAAATGGTCGCTAAAACCAAGGTCGTAATAAATGAAATCCACTGTAAATTCTTATTACTGAATTTATTTTTACGTTATATTTTATTATTGTACTCCACTCATTATTTTGAGTGAATCATAATTATTGTAGATTTTATCGAAATTATTGTAAAATCAATATATGAAGTAAGTTGTCGGAAGTTTGTTTTTATTAACTAGATTTTTCCTATATTGGCATTTGCGGTGCCATTATTTTTACATTTTAGCATGTTTTCCTTCATAATGAACTTTATAATCGGTTACGTAAGGCTTATTTTCGGTTTCGTTAAGCTGGAAAAATTTTTCTCGTATCGTTTAACGCTGAAATAGCAAAGGCGTAGTTCCAGAATTTTACTTCTCATTTATTCTGTTGTTTGACCCAAACACTCCATCCAATCTTAAAGATTCCAATTTTCTTTATTCTACTCGATATCAAATAGTCTTAACATAAAACCTGGCATTACTTTGAGTAAAAACGTTACATGTATTTAAGATGTTAACAATTAATTATCTAAGGTCCGCGTAATAAAATAAAATGTCTTACCTTGTTTGAAGAGCACCCCTCGCCCTCCCTCAATTGCGTGCACTATCCCCATCACCACAAATCCCAGCACCACTACACTGGGAAAGACATACCACCGTTGATAATAGGACACCAGTTTCGCCTTAAAACAAGGTACCTTCAGGATAAATATACTAGGCGATGTCTGACCGCTAAGAAACTACTTAGCGATTATCCACCATTAATATTGCGGCCATGATTTACCAAATTTATATAAAACTAGCTTATCAGGCAAACGTTGTTCTGCCCTTTTCGTTGACCCTTTGTCATGTCCTACTAAAAATCCTTAAATTAGCAAAAAAGAAATTGTGGTTCACTCATAGGCAAAAAGCTATCCTATCTCTCAAGTTGGACCAAACTGCCCACGGTGTGCAAATTTGACTAAAATCGGTCAAGTTAGTAGGTAGGTAGTTTAGGAGTCCATCGCGGACAAACAACGTGACACGTAATTTATATATATTAAGATTACATCTAATAATAATAGCCGTGTAGTGGCGGTTAAGAATATCCACTACCCCATATCTTCCCGTGGGTGTCGTAAGAGGCGACAGAGGGAGACAGGCAGGAGATGGGCAGCAGCATCTTCCTAATAACAACTGTGTTATAATAAAAAACTGCGGTTGCCAACCCGCTCGCCAAGCGTGGCAACTATGGCAATATACCCCCCATGATAGTTACGAAGAAACTGCTCCCAGTCCCCGGCGTCCGGTATTCCTGGCTACGGTGGCGACCATGGTAACGGCGGGGCAGGGGGTCCTAAGAATCTCCGGTGGAGGTTCGGTTGACACCTAAAACGACTTGACCTAGCAACTTACAACGCACGCACCCTGAGGACTGACGAGAAAATCCTGGAGCTGGAAGAAGAGATGGACAAGTTGCACTGGAATATTATAGAATTATCCGAGGTCCGAAGAGAGAGGGAGGACACGGTGATTCTCGAATCCGGCAACTTGTTCTATCACCGGGAGGACGAGCATCTGTCCCAAGGAGGTGTCAGATTTATCGTCCACAAGTCTCTCGTTAACAACGTTGTAAAGATTTGGAGTGTGTCGACGAGGGTTGCTTATACTCAGTATCACCAAACGGTATTCGCTGAAGGTCATAAAGGTTTACGCATGAACGTCCGCACATCCCGATGAGGAGGTGGAGGAAATGTATGAGGATATTTCTAGAGCCATGCATTCCTCCAAAACCCACTACGTGGCGTTCCATTTTTGCCACGTATGGCTCGCATCTCTAGTTCTAGTAATCTAAATCTTGCCTGAGGGGCTATACCTTGTTAGGCGTTATATTTAAGATGATAAAAGAACATTTATTTTAATAATTTTACCTTTTTTTTTTAAATTCTATTTTTCGAGAAAAATATAACCTAGATCACACCACAATCTATCTAATTGTAACATCAATATAGAAGCGAGTTGTCGGAAGTTTGTTTTTTGTTGACTAGATTTTTCCATTGCCTAATGCCATTATTTTTGCATTTTAAGATGTGTTCCTTTACAATAAGGTTTATATTTGGTTACGTAAGGTTTTATTTTCGGTTTACTTAAGCTGGAACATAACTTCTCGTACCGTATGAAGCTGAAATGGCAAAGGCGTAGCTCAAGAATTTTACTTGTGTGAAGTTTCGTTACAATCGATCCAGACATGGAGGTTAGAGAACAGGAGAACGATCGCTGTAGAAAATAGTGTCCCAGAAATATGGACAAAATAAGTGAGGCGTTGCGATCGCTAAGTTGGCTCAGTAATTTTAATTATTATAAATATAAATAATTAATTATTATTGATTTATGAAATATTATTAAAAAAAATAATTATATTTTTTTTATAATATTTCACCATTTCTTGATGTTTCATTTTGTCTAAAATTACTTCGCAGATACTACTTACGTCGGTAATTCTAAAAATTTTCAGGAACAGGCGGGCTATTACTTAGCACGTAGCGACTGTTCTCCTGTTTCTCTAACCGCCATGGGTTCAGCTGTTCCGAAGACTAGTCATAACTATATTTCAACAAAAGATTCAACTAAATGGTGTTACATTGCGCAGATGTAAATTAGCGAATTGATTAGATAGTAATTCAAATTTTTATTGTTACATGTGTACAAACCTTGTCTGCGTTGAGCTACAATTATTGCCAGAAAAAATTATGTAGAATGGCCTACGGGTTACGGAGGAGATAGATTTCAAAGAATCGTTTTCTTGCGCCATGGAAGCTCCACTCGCTACGCTCCAATAAAAACAAATAATAGGCATCAAAGGATTTTTATTTCAGATAACAAATAAAACGGTGTAGATTGAATAAAGGCTGTAAACCTTATATAAGAAAGATTCATAAGAAATTCTTTGCTTCTCTGCTGTATAACAAATAAAGAATCTTCTCTTAAGACTAAGTTATATTAAATTTTGTGAGATATGAAAGTTAGAGTTTATTTAAAGCTTGTGCGACATCGTTGGCGAGCAGTGAGGCGACGGCCATGTTAGAACAGTTAGCGGTCACCGTGCTGGCGGCCGGCTCCAGCCGCAAGGACAACAGGACCAGGTCCTGTGACGACATCATGCGGCCCGCAAACCTGCACCATTGGAAATTTCAACATCATTACATAATTAAATTAAACGAATTATTACGGATTTTATTGCATATATTAACTTATTTTATTTTATATTCAGCCACAGCCGACTTTTAAACTATATAAACCAAAGCCTAATTTTGGCATTGAAATAAAACAACGTAAAGAATTTTCTAAAATAAATACTCACATGTGCTATGTAAATTTTGGTAAATTTAATATATATATATATATATATATATATATATATATATATATATATATATATATATATATATATATATATATATATATATATATATATATACAGTGTGTCCGGTCACGGACTAGCGATATTTTAGGTACTTATAATACAGCTATTTTAATATAAAAATACACTACACACTGAGGTCTAATCCCCTCTCCCTCTATTTGGCAGCCATTTTGTTTTTCTCTTGAGATATTCTCTACGATTTTACGAAAAAAGTCATATCTCTCAAAGTTTTAGTCCTACTGAGATAAAAATTTACTCTTTCGGAGGCCAATAATATTGTTTATCGTTTACATTATCAAAATTTTTGTTGACATACTTGTAACTTTCAAGAAAAAAAATTTAACTTCAAATAAATATCAAAAAATATGCTATTCGGCAAATTATTGTAAATTACTGCAAAAACAACCCTGTTCACCCTTTTTATTTTTATACTAGATCGACAAATTTTGAGTTAAGCTACAATGCAACATAAAGTTTACAGCTGTATGTTTATTACTTTAAGAATTATTGTTGTTTGAACATAGCATATGCGCAAACACAAAAGGCCTTTGTTAAATGACAACTGGCACTGCCTGCCTAGGAGTAATAGTAATCTGAGATTACTTATGATCTTCGATGAATTAGAGATGATGAATGAGAGATCAGAGAATCAGAATCATCATTTATAAGTAGTATAATTTGAGAGCAGGCAGCACAGAACACTAACGCCTGTCACCCAGAGGGGTAGGCATCCTGATACACCTCTCTCGCCTCCTTCACATTCATATACCTACGCATACATGCTCGTCGGTTAAGGGTACTCCTAATTTGGCCAGTTTTCAATAAAATGCCAATTTGGTCGATAAATTTTCTAGGACCTAGGACGTCCCTTTCCGACTCTGCCATTCACTTCTGCAACATAAATTTTTCTTTCCACATGACCAAACCACCGAAGCATCCCTTTCTTAATCCTGGTCACATCGTCTTGAAAATCACACAATATCTCTCTCTCTCTCTCTCTATATATATATATATGTATAAACATATAAAAACATAAACACTCACGCCTGTCACCCAGAGGGGTAGGCAGAGACTACAGACTTCCATTTAGCACGATCCTGATACACCTCTCTCGCCTCCTTCACATCCATACACGTACGCATACATGCTCGTCGGTTAAGGGTACTCTAATTTGGCCCGTTTTCAATAAATCGCCAATTTGGTCGATAAATTTTCGCCTAGGACGTTCCTTTCCGACTCTGCCATTCACTTCTGCACCATAAATTTTCTTTGTCACTCTTTCCTCATTCATTCTTTCCACATGACCAAACCACCGAAGCATTCCTTTCTTAATCCTGGTCACAACATCATCTATATATATAAACTGGACTCTAGTCTTAACGTGGCTTGTATCATGAGTACATTCTTAATTTAAAGGGATACCAACGATTTTGATTTCATTTCTTTTAACCCACCTCAATAGATTTCCCGTGGAAGTGACAGCCGCTACGTTTGCAGTTTCAAACACTCGCTTACAGATTGCCTGTTCGTCTTCCAGCTTCCCTATCTTCTTATCGCACTGAAACATCACATAGAACGCGTTAATAACTGTTTGCCAACTTTTTAAACCAAACTAATTTTATATAGGACTAGCAACCCTGGCTTCGCCTGTGTAAACCTCGTTCGTTGGCGATTTATTAATATGACGTTAATAAAATTTAAGATAGCAATCAAAGACAATTTTTTAAATAAAATTTTTCGATTTTACAAATAAAATTAAATAATATAATAATAATGTCCTCCAGACCGAATTTCGGTCACGGCGGCCTGCCTCAACGGAGGCTAGCCATCGGCGCATTACAGGAGTACAGTGCCCAAGTGTATGCGCAAGCACAGGCGCACTCTCTATTCCCTCTCTCACATAGGCCGATGGGACGGTAAACCGACACCACCGGAGAGAGATCAGGCGCAGGACCAACGGCTTTACGTGCTTTGGATTAAATATAGCTTAGATCATTCCTAGTGTCGGTTTTTATCTGTCCGTTGAAGTTTCATTACAATCGGTTCAGCCAATTCGAAGTTAAGCCCACACACACAGACAGACAGACAAATATTTTAAAAATAGTTGCGTAATGTTTTAACATTTTTTTTGCGCGAATCCCTAGATAAAAATAGCCTAAGTTACACCTTACACCACATCAGCCATGGCACCATATGCCAGTGAAAGTTCCGGGTCCAGACAAGTTTTTAAAATTGTTTATTTTTTGTTACAAGTACCGTATATACTTTCATGTGCATTTAGTGAAAAGCTGTTAATTTGACATTCACTAACAGACTTCAACTTTATTTATTGGTATAGATAGCATGCAAAAACCATTTTAGCATAATATAAAACAGTTATTTCAACATTTCAGGCAATTTAATTTAATTTTTATTTATTTATTTATTCGTTTTAGAAAGGCCTACAGACTAATATCTTCGTGAAATTACAAAATGGAGATAAGAACTGCCAATTACAGGCCTCCACATATTACTTTCATCCATTGTTATACAAATTTAAAACACTCCAGGGAATACTTAAACTATTCACAAAAATAATTGACAAAAAATGCAAAAACATTAACAAAAAGAAAAAAAACGTATAGTTTAACTTTCCGTGAGACCAAGGAGCTTGCATGTCATGCTAGTCGCAACTGTGAGTAAAAAATTTTGTGTTTATCACTTTTTTTTTTACAGATTTCGAACTAGTAGAAAATAGGTCAATGTCTACTACAGATGAAAGCTTATTAAATTCCATTGTGCTACGCAGAATTATAATTCGTTGAAGCAAGAGGTATATATAGCAAGGGACGCTGTCTAAATCTCATTGAATATAGTATATATAGATATGAATGATAATTGAGTTACAAGTGTACCTAATGTCAAGTGTATGGTAAGTAATTGAAAATAATATAAAGCTAATAATCATAACGATATATGTAAACGTGTAGTTTTTTTTATAGAATAAGGATGAAAATCGAATATACTCGATTTTCACGCTATATATAGCCCACTTGGTGGTAATTGGATACTGTTGTCGATAAACATCTACATCTATTTCATTCAGAGTCAAAATGCAGATGTGTTGTCACCCTGAGGACTAAAATGGAATGTCTTGTTCCCAGTAAAAATAATCTCTGGATATCTACGCTCAAAATGATCATACAGTCCTGATGGTAAGTGGATGCTGTGACCCATAGACATCTACATTTATCTACATTTATTAATCAAAATGCAACAGCGTTGTCACCCCTGAGGGCTAAGATGGAATGCCTCAATTCTAGTGAAAAGGGTCTCCGGTACTCTACACTCACCATACGAAACACACACTATAAAATTATAATTTTCATGTAAGTTAAGTTTCTAAGATGTGCATAAAAATTATTATGATTATTATTATTGGTATAATTTGTATTATAAATTGTATTTTTTTGTATTAAAAATTTAATACTTATATGTTGAAATATATACTGGATGATTTTTTACCGTCTGGAAAAAACAGGGTGTAACATGTGAACGGAGTAGAAGGCTATGACACTGATATTTTACAAAAAATTTAAACAAAAATTTGGAATTAAATAAATTAAAACTAAATTGATTAAAATCTATGGAAATTCAAATCATATCCACCTGAGCCTGTGACCCTGCGAAGTGACCAGGTCAAAGATGTACTTTTGTGGCCGTCAACTTTAACGTACCTCAGTCATTCCTCGCAGTTTCTTGTGCTCAGTGTCCCAACGTGTCTCCGACATGGTGACCGCTCGCATAAGTTCACCCACAGGTGGCGTTATTGACACTCCCACCTCACCTACGAAATTTATTGATTTAAAAATTATTATTATTATTAGAGATATTTTTTTCATATGAAAATTAGTGTAGAACTTATTGCAAAATTTGTACATTGTACTTGAAAAGATAAACTAACAGACAACGAGAGAGTAAAGAACAATGACCAGACTCATAATATGCTTGGACCAGGACAATTTGATATAATGTAACTTGATGAAATATATGTCGTTTCATTTGTCTATTTAAATATAAAGTACGGCATTCAGTATGTTTATAAGGACGGTGAATATAGTAATACAGCAATATGTGTTATATTATTAATCTGTAGCATTTTTAACGAAACTTTTCTTAGTACAATAATTAACATAAGTTTATACGGTTGCCACTGTTAGAATTTAATTTTGATTAAGAAACAAGATCAATCTAGAATTAAAAAATATGAGTACAGATATATAGCATATACAGCACTTTTTATTGCATACTCTTTGGTACCTATGAACTTTTCTAGTCAAACGTAATTATATACTCTTTGTTTAGGAACGTAAACAACGAGGGCTAATAATCTTCCGCTCACCAGATGTCACTAGTTGACACTGAGGTGAAGATTTTTTTGTTACAAAATGTAATTTACTAATTGGTAAAAATTTGTTTTAAATAAAAGTTTATCAGCTTCTAGTGTATTTTTTAAACATACAAAACAATGGCTCAGTGGTTTGCTCCTTAATTTTTTGCACATATTTATCCCTTTTTTTGATTTTTATAATTTTATAAATACGAGGGCTGCACTGAAAATTTCGGGAATCAAGGAAGTGACACAACATTACTATATAAAAATGTATTTATTGCTTTCGAAGTATTCTCCGCGAAATTTGACACATTTTTCCATACGATGGAACCAATCATTGAAGCAACCATTCCATTCGGAAGTTGGGGTCTCCAAAATGGCCGTTTTGTAGGCGTCCACAGCTTCTTCAGGTGATGAAAATCTCTGTCCACGCAATTTATTCTTTATTTTAGGGAAAGTATAGAAATCATTAGGGCTTAGGTCGGGGCTGTACGGCGGATGGTCTAATAATTCTATGTTTTCTTGCTCTAAAACTCTTTTGTTCTGTGTGCGGTGTGAGAACTCGCATTGTCGTGATGGAGGATGATGCGGCGGTTGCAGTTCTCTTTACGGAGTTCAGAAACGACCTGTGGCAAACAAATGCTAGCATACCATTCTGCATTAACCGTTCTTTGTCCCTCAAGAGGAGTAGTCGTAACCCGGGAGACAAACGTAGCCACCATTTTTTTGCAACACTCCGTGAACGAACAATTTTTGTTGGCTCTCGTTTTCGACCACCCAAACTCGTGACTGGTTTTTTTATTTCAGGTTCGTACGCGTATATCCAGGATTCGTCACCTGATACGATGTTGTATACAGCATTTGAGGATCCTGCGTGGAATCTTTCGAGAGTTCTGAAGCACCAAGTAACGCGAGCCGCTTTTTGCTCTTCACAGAGCGAATGCGGTATCCATCGGGAAAACAACTTTTTTACACCTAATTGTTCATGCAAGATTATTTGTATTCGACTCATGCCAATATCTAAAGTAGCCTGAATTTCGCGGTATGTCACATGTCGATCTTCCTCAATCAGCTTACGCACAGCATCAACTTTCTTGGGGGACTGCAGTTTTTGGACGACCTTGACGGGGATCATCACTGAGCTTGACAGGTCCACGTTGAAATTCAGCAAACCAGCGATAAATTGTGATTTTGGATGGGGCTTCATCACCAAATGCAGAAAACATCCAGTTAACACACTGTTTTTGTGTTAAACCACTTCGAAAGTCATAATAAATCTTGAATTTTTTCGAGTCAATTCCATTTTCTCAACGACTAAACAAGTTTAACAAATCCTTGTCACAAGACCGAGAATCTTTTTTTAAAATAAATAAATGGTATTCGATTTTTAAAACCAAGGAGTTTAAGAGAGAATTAAAATCTTTTTCAATTAAAAAGATTTTAATATGACAGGAACAGTGGAAATATTCCATTCCCAATACTTTTAGTGCAGCCCTCGTATCTGTGGTTTATTTTATTTATTTACTTTTAGTCTAATTAATGTAAAATATTACTAATAGTAAAGAAAGATGATGTTTCTTTCTTTTCTCTTTACATTTTTCGAACAAATTGAGTTCTCCGCTATGAAATCTGTCAAATATTACACCTCATTTGTAAGGGGCGCCGCCCTGGTGGCAGTAAAAGTAGTTGTAGTATGTGTGGCTGTGTAAACGTTTAATACTGCGTTCTAAAAAGCAAAGTTACATTTTATTAAAGACGATTATCTTAATATAATATATAAATTACGTGTCACGTTATTTTTCCGCGATGGACTCCTAAACTACCTAACTACTAACTTAACCGATTTTAATCAAATTTGCACACCGTGTGCAGTTCGGTCCAATTTGAGAGATAGGGTAGTTTTTCGCCCTTGAGTGACTCACAATTTTTTTGCTAATTTAAGGATTTTTAATAGGACATGACAAAGGGTCGTCGAAAAGGGCAGAACAACGTCTGCCTGGCAAGCTAGCTTTTATTTAAAAATAAACTCATAATTTCCATTCCATTAATAGATAATGTTCTACATATTGGTGACACTCTCATGGCGGTAAGAATTTATGTTTTTTCTTAGTCCAAAATGGCCACTGCTATATTGCTAAATTTAAAGTTTCAAGTCTCTAGCTCATCCGAAAGTTATTTTAAAACAGTTTGCATAATCTGTACCGAACAGACAAACAGATGAGGGAGTTAATAAAAACGTCGTAATAATAGCACTCAGAGAATATATAATCACTATGTTCTAATAGCAGTGAACGAACAAACCTTGAAGGTACAACGAACTTTCGACGCCTAGCATAGCAAGCAGTTGCACTGACCGTTAAATCGTACGACATTTTAATAAAATATTTAAAAAAAAAAAACAGTGCCGTGTAGTGTTGGCGTGAGAGAATCTTCTACCCCGTATCATCCCATGGGTGTTGTAAAGAACGACGGAGCGAAATGAAACAGGAGATGTGCAACAGTATCTTTCTGATAACAACCCAATATAATAAAAAAAATGTGTGCAGTTCACACGCATTAGAAGTGAAGCCTTCATGCCGGCTGTACACGCTCGTCTCGTCGCCTTGCGTGCCTCTCGTCCTGTTGAGGCTCGACACGAGAAGACACCATGATAAATGAAAAAAAATAGTTATTATACGTTATTATAACTTATTACACATTTACCATAAAAATAAAATTAATGAGCCACGGCGAAGAAGAAGATTGTGGATGGTTTCTATTTACCGTAACTGAACCATCTACGGTGAATATAATATAGTACGCTCTCATTTTCATCGCGAAACTCTCGAAACCCTTTGACTCGAGCGCAAAAAACCGAGACGCTTCCGAGAGCGCACGAGTACTACGAGACGCAACGCGACGCTATGAGAGCACCATGTACACACTCGTACTCGGCTTGTCGTGGTGTCTCGACGAGCGTGTACAGCCGTCATCAGAAAAGGACACGAAGATTGTATAATGTAGAGTACATCTCATTCTCTCGAAGGCTAAATCCTATATTTGTATATTTTTGTATCTTTTTAATGGCGTTTATTCCTTTCATCGAATTTAAAATCACTACGATTTTAAAGAAGTTTTCACTTAAAATGCGTTTAACAAGCCTACGGTTATAATTTATCTATTCAAACAGCCTATTAGGACGGCCTATATGTTATATATTCTATTCACTGTACATCGTTCTGTTACGGTAAATATAAACCATCCACCATCTCTAAATGTGTAAAAAATTTAATAGCTCAAAGGAAAAACGCAGCAACAGTTTCATCTAGGTCCACCTCAGCGAGCATACGGAGTCCAAATGATACAACGAGTGTGTACATGGTGTGTTCTAGTGTCGAGCCCCTACGCGGCAAGAGGCACGCGAGGCGAGGTAAATTTGGTTAGGTAAACTTACGTTAAGTGATTTCAAGGGGCATTCAAGGTAGTTTTCCATAGATATATGGACATTGAATAGGGACCGGAGCTATGTAATACTAAATTAAGTTTAAAAAATAAGCAGGCGGTTTTGAAGTAACACTTCTTTAGAATCGTTTACATTTGAAACTCAATGAAACGAAAAAGCGACACAAAAAAAACGTGTGTGCAATTCACACGCGGTGGAAGTGAAACCATCAGAAAACGACACCGAAATAATAGGAAACAATGTATACTACGTCTATCTCATTCTCTCGAAGGCCAAATCCTATAGAAGTATATGTTTGTCTGTTTATAGTTCGCTTTTTCGTAAGTTTCGAATTACAACTATTCTAAAATAGTTTTCACTTCAGAAAGAAAAACATATGCATTTATGCCTGCGAGAGAATGAGATAGATAAAAGTGTTATAGATAAGTGTTAGTGATACCGTGTTTCCTAATATTTCGGTCTCCTCTTGTGCGGTGATTCGCAGGCTCCCCACTCTCGTCTTTTGAAGGTTTCACTTTTACCGCGTGTGAACCGCACATATGTTTTTTTGTGTAGGTGGAATACTATCGCAATGCTATGTATGTATCAAAATTAAAACGTCAAAAGTCAAAATTTACACCAATGAGGAATCTATTAACTATATTAAAAAATAAATATTCGAAAATTCTGAAATTTTAATTGGCAACTTACCTAGGGAGCTCATGATCGTGAATTCGATTGGTTGTATGGAGTCCGCGAAGTCTACTCCCATGGTCACGCTAGCCGAAGCGCCCGGGGCCAGCGACGGGATCGCCGCGAATTCGTGGATTGCTCGGGACCCGGTTAACGTCTGTTCACAAAAATAATATGATGTAGAAATGTTTTGTGGTATTTTAAGCCGGTTGTGTGTACTTTTAGCCAACGTAAAAATATAGGAGGTACTCAATTCGACGGTAGCCGTGGTAGCTCAGGGGTTAACGCTCGCTGTAAATATAACAGATCGCGAGTAATCCGGGTTCGATCCCCGCCGGCACCAATGAAATTGTTAATTGCAATTTTAACTGCTGATTTACCACGTGCTCGTCGGTGAAGAAAAACATCGTGAGGAAACCTACATGTCTGAGGAATAAGAAAAAAAAATATTTCGAAGACATGTGAAGTTCGTCAACACGCATTTGGGCAGCGCGGCGGACACTTCCTTGTCCTAAACCCTCTCAGAAATCAGGGGAGGCCTGAGCCCAGCAGTGGGACGTATATAGGCTGTAACTTTACTTTTTACTTTACAATTCGACGGTCTTTTTTGTAATTATATTACGCGGTATCTTCGTCAATTATATAATATATAATTGTAATTTGATGACATTCTAGTTGTTACCTTGAGCTTGTGATATACCTTAGTCTACTCAAAAATATCAAAAATTAAACTTATAAAAAGTATAACCCGGCTTCAAACAAGTGAAAGATTTAAGTAGTTTTACATTCAGAATCGCGGCTTTAACTCTTTCATGCACCATTTTATTATGCACTTATACTATGTATTTTTACCCGTGGTAGAGTCATGCTGCAGTTATATTAGTAGTATAGTTGTAGCACGAATGGGTCGGCTTGACCGGGGAAGGACCACGCTCTCACAGAATATCAGCGTAAAATAGTAGCTTTATGCTGCTGTATTTCGTATGGTGAGCATATAGGACCGGAGACCCTTTTTACTGGAAACGAGGCATTCCATCTTAGTCCTTACGGGTGATAACGCATCTGCATATTGATTCGTATTTGAGGACGGATGTACCAGGCGGTCCCATAATGAACTGGCCTGATATAGTTCAACGCGACATGTCGTTACATGTTGTGTTGCATTAAATAGTACGTTTATCGTGCACTTAATATAAGAAACATGCATCGACATGAAATGCTTAGTCTTAGTTTAACAGGCATTTGAATAACGAGAGTCGCGTATTTTTTCAAAATGTCGAAAACTGATTATCGAAGTGTCATAAAGTTTCTGTTTAAAGAAGGTTTATCCCTTGCCCAAATAAAAGAACGATTGGATGGCGTGTATAAGGAGTCTGCCCCCTCCTATAGTACAGTGAAAAATTGGGTGAAAGAGTTTCGCCTCGGGAGAGAAACGTCGAAGACTTTGGCCACGACGGTCGACCTGTGGAAGTGCTCACTCCCGAAACGATTGCTCTTATCGAAGAGGAGGTTCTGAGTGACCGCCGTTTGAAGATTAGAGAAATTGCAGCAAGGCTTGGGCTCTCTAAGAGTACCGTTCATCGCCCGATCCATGAACATCTTCACATGAAAAAAGTGAGTGCAAGATGGGTACCGAAACTTCTTTCAGCGGTACAGAGACAGGAAAGAGTGCGCTGCGCTTCGGAGTTTTTGGATCTTTGTGGTGAAAATCCAAAGACTGTGATTGAGCGGCTAGTGACTGGTGATGAAACTATGATCTTGTATTATGATCCACAAAGCAAGCGCGAGTCAGTGGAATGGCGTTATAAGGGTGAAAAGCCCCCTAGAAAGGCAAAGGTGCAACAATCGATTAAAAAACTGATGTGCACAATATTTTGGGATTTTCAAGGCATTTTGATGGTGGATTTTAAAGAACGTAATACAGTCGTGAACGGCGAATATTATGCTTCTTTAATATATAAATTACGAGACAAGATAAAGGAAAAACGAAGAGGCAAGCTGTCTAAAGGTGTCCTGTTGCTCCATGACAACGCCCCTGTTCATACCGCTGGTGTTTTGAAGGATGCAGTTCGTCAATGCGGGTTCACAGAAGTTCAACATCCACCTTACAGTCAGACATGGCCCCGTCCGACTATTATTTATTTCCAAATTTAAAGCGGGACTTAAGAGGAAGAAAATTTTCAAGCGATGAAGAGTTGCAGGCGGCCGTCTTCAGTCATTTTGAGGATAAAAAATGTGATTATTTTTATAAAGGTTTAGAGATGTTGATTCACAGATGTCAGAAGTGTGGTAGTATTCATGGTGATTATATTGAAAAATAAAATTGGTTTCGTTTCATTTTCTTCATTGGTTCATAGTTAGGCCAATTCATTATGGGACCGCCTACGTAGATGTCTACGGGCCACAGCAACCACTTACCACCAAGTCGACTGTGTGCTCGTTTGTCACACTATCCTATAAAAAAGTCTTTTTGTGCAGAGTTTATAAGTGTGAGAAAACAGATGGGTGTTATACGTTTAATGAGTGTATCTGTGTGTCTGTCTGTAGTAGCGTGGTGCCTACACGGATTAACCGATTTTGATTTAGTTTTCTTTGTTTGAGCGGTGACTTGATCGAGTCTTCTGAGCTATGATGCAAGTACGCTTTCGCAGGATTATTGAACAATAGCTTGTGGAACAATGCTTCTACTCTGTCGAAGAATATTTAAATTTTATGTTCAAGATTGGGCATCGCAATTAAAATTAATTAATTGCAATTAGTTATATTATTTTATTTAAATTTAATGTAATAAAATGATTATGATGTATTTGAAATAATGTTAATTATTATATTAGTTGTAATAATGTAATTAAACATAAACGAAAGGTCGTGAGAAACATAAATGTTTATAACAAGTGCTGAGGTGACGACAGAGGCCCCGGTACAAAGCTGTTTTTTGTTATGGCGGGCGTGGTAAGGGAAAGGTTAATGTATTGATAAAGCATGGTGGACTTAAATAATTACCAACCTCTATCGTACCATGTATGGAGTGAAGTTCGGCAAGGAGTACAGACTGTGTTAAATAAGGGTGGCGCCACTATAGCTACGGGCTAAATTTTAAAGAACGCGCCAAAAAATATAAGTGGGATAGACGACTTTTTCGAGGCTATATTTATTAAATAAAATTCTTTAATTTAACTACTGAGCTGTTTAGCAGTATGCTTAAACCGTCAACAACTGCTAAGTTCATTTCATCCCAGTAGCTACTCCAGCGCTGTTGTGGAGAGTTTTTGAACTGTTATTTATTGTTTACAGATAGCCACTTTTTCAACTATTCTACTATGGGTGTTACTGTCCCCATGCTACCCTGACAAAAACCGATCTAGACTTTAGATCTTAGAGCTACTGAGCAGTTTAGCAGCACACTACACACCGTCGACAACTGCCAAGTTCATTTCATGTAGCTGTTTCCTGTAGCTACTCCAGCGCTGTTGTGGAAAGTTTTTGAACTGTTATTTATTGCTTACAGATAGACACCTTTTCAACTATTCTCCTACGAGAGATCGCTCTCCTTACTTATAAACTCCATAGTACCATGTTATTGCAAATAAATTATGATTACGATTAAAGATCAGTTTTTTTTTGTTTCGGGGCTTTATTTTTTTTTAATTTATGTTATATAGTAAGTGGGTACTGCAGCCCATCGACACCAGCAGCCAGCGTCATACAAGGCTACAGTTGCGTTGTCATCTCTGAGGACTAAGAAGAAATGCCTCACAGACTGTGATTATACTGGTTTTCTACGCCATTCAGATCATATACATCACAATACGCTGCAGCTATATTATGGATGTAGCACAATGGGTTGGCTCGACCAGGGAAGGATCACGCAACTCACAATACCGGCGTAAAGTAGCAGCTTAAAATTGCAGTGTCTCGTATGGTAAGTGTAGCGAACCAGAGAACCTTTTTACTAGAAACGAAGCATTCCATCTTAGTGCTCAGGGGTGACAACACATCTGCATTTTGATTCTTAATCGAGTACAGACGCAGGTATCTTTGAGCCACTGCATCCACTTATCATCACGTAAATTGTGATCGTTTGCCATCCTTATGATAAGAGTAAGCCAATTATGCGGTAGACATAATTAAGAGGGTGGTTGGGTATAGATAAGAGAAGTTTTACTTCTGTGTCGTGCATGCAGTTAACATTTATAAATGCACAAGGATTAACAAACAGACTCGAAACAACTATATGTAGGTCACATAAATAGTTGTTCCATACGACATTCAAACCTGCGACTATTAGCGCCTCAACTCAATATTAAGTCTGCGCCACGCAGCCATACTTAGTTATATTTTAGGCAGTAATATGTGTGTTTTAGGGCATTTTAAAAGGACATATTTGTTGTTGAATGTTTTAAGTAGTGTTTAACCGAAGGCCGATGTCTGGCAGAAGTCAAATTAAAAGCCGATTAAATCGACTATCGCCACAAATTTCGGCTAAGACTGAAGCCGAAGAAGAAGAAAACTTTTAAAAATCCAGTTCAAGATTGGCTAAAATTAATAATATAAATTATTTTAAAACAATTACATTAAAGGTTTATATGTAAACCGTATAATATAAAAGGATAATTTTTAATTTTATTCATTTTATTGTGTCGCCGCATGCACTGCGCTCGCGCTCACAGCAGTTCGTTCGATTTCGGCGCTTGCTATAAATCTTCGGCCATTTTGGCTGAAGCTGAAAGTTTCGTTGGAGGTGGTTTATTGGCCGAAGTCGAGCCCTCGGTCAGACAAGAGTAAGAATGTATATGAAACAAGTGTGTTTGATGAGGCACTGACCTTCTTGTTGAGTCGTACGTTGGTGACGTCAGCGGGCGAGTGGTTCGTGAAGCTGAGCTCCAGCGTGCACATGCGCTGCGAGAACAGGTGCGGGGCGCGCGGCCAGCGCCGCTTCGCGCACAGTCCGCCGCACGACACGCGCGATATCAGCTCCACTGCCTCACCGCCCGCCCAGCTGGCGCCCACCGGCACTATGCTGTCCGCTGAGTGAAAAAACATTTGTGGTCTCCATGTCCGTTTAAGCACTCCTTTTTAGTTTGAAGCCCTTGAATCAGTCCCGACAGTACAGTATCATTATTGTTAAGTTTAATAACAGAGAATTTAGAGACGGAAATAAAGCTATATTTGATTATCACGCAAATAAAATAATTATTATATTATTTCTAGTCTTTTATCTATTATTATAACGTATGTATTTTCGCTTTTGTACGAGTGTAATGTATTTGTTAAGTAGTAACGTTATTTCATCTGTGGTATTAGTCAGTGATCTTTAAATTCTTTGTATACCATAGTTTGAACAAAGGTGTTTGTTTTAGCCATAAAATGGCCTAGACACGCTTTCTTTCTTTCTAGTTCATAAATTAAGGATTTTTTAATAGCTAGATACCTATGGGATCGTAGCATAATTATGAACCATCTAGACACCACTAATATACTCACAATTATTAATTCAATCGTTAAGTGATTCAGAAGTGACACAACCAGATCTCTAAATAAGAATAGGTAGCTAATATAGGTCAAAGTAAAGTACTCCAGACTGAATTTCGGTCACGGCGGCCAGTCTTAACAGAGATCAGCCCTCCCTGCAGGACTCGATTACAGTATCTCAGTGTACGCACAAGCACAGTTGCACTCTATTCCCTCACTCTCATAGTCGGATGGGACGGCAATTCGATACGACTGGAGAAAGATCAGGCGCAGGATTGCCAGCAACAGATATTCTGAGTAGCAGCCCGAAGTCAGAAATTTGGAAATGTTTCTGAAACCATGTAAAGCGGTTGGTCCTGCGCCTGATCTCTCTCCGGTCGTGCCGGTTTACCGTCCCATCGGACGATGAGAGTGAGGGCATAGAGAGTGCACTTGTGCTTGCGCAACTTACTTTATTATTATTATCATTATTCTGATCTTTGCCCCAGTTATTTCACCTCCTACGATACTTACAGGAATATACGTGGTAGAGCCATGCTGTAGCTATATTACGGTTGTAGCACGAAAGGGTTGACTTGGCTGGGAAAGTACCACGCTCTCACAGAATACCAGCGTAAATTAGCAGCTTGATGCTGCTGTGTTTCGTATGGTGAGTGCGGAGAACCGGAGATGCATTTTACTAAAGTCGAGGCATTCCATCTTAGTCCTCAGGGGTAACAATGCACCTGAATTTCGATTCTTAATCGAGTTTAAAAAGATGTTTATGTCTGATACACATGTGTAGCTTGCTCGACTTTACAGGTTAAGATGTCTAATGGCCACAGCGTCCACTTACCATCAGGTGGACTGTGTGCTCGTTTGTCACCCTATTCTTTATAAAAATGAAGTGATGTATTATTTTAAGTAGCATACGCCCCGACGGGAGTGATGCATGCTGCTCGAAAAGCGCAACCTTACGAAAAACAGAGCTAAACTCAATGATCTAAGATCAATCATTAATATTGAGTACTCACCATCACCAGTCCCTTGCATAGGTGTCGTGGTTGGTGGGGAAAGGAACCCCCCACAGGTGGGCGTCATGGTGGGCAAAGAGCTCGCCACTTCGTCCAACTCCAACAACAGTTCTAGATTGGATTTCTCATTACTTTTCTGTTGTTGCACCGCCGCGTCTGGTTTTGTTACCTGTAAAGAGTTCACATAGTTTTAGTTTGTTTTAGCGTCTGTGGCTTTCTTTATCCCCCCAACTTTCTTTTTAATTTTTATATTATTATTATTTCTTAATTTGAAAACACGTCGAAGTTATAAAGGTATAATTCATATTTATATAAGGCATATATTTTCACATTTTTAATTACTCGTCTGCTATATTAAAGACTACCGATCCGCCACGACTTCGCCCGGGTAATTTCTGGATCTAAACAACCGCCACCTACCGGGCCTAATCGAATCCAAATCTATCTATATCCAAATATATCTATCTAGGGACCCACTCTAACACACAAAAAATCATTACAATCGGTCGAGCCATTTTCGAGTTTAATTGCGAGACTAACGCACGGCACATGTTTTTTATATATAAATTATATAGAAGATGTATTAAAAATTAAAATGGTGTGTCACTTAGTTTGAAAAGCAAGTCACACACTTGTGTGTAATATCATTGCCACTACTAAGTCTAATAGTATAGTAGACACTAGGAAAGACAAACCACTGTCGATAAATCGATAATACGACGCAGATTTCGTATCTAAAAGACGCATCATTATTTTCCACATCCGTAATATAACGAATTTTCGCAAAAAGGACCCAATTTTATAAAATTTTTGTAATATTTGTATATGTATACAACCTCAAATTATATAAAAAACTGAAGTATTTTAATAATTTATTAAAGTAGTAACGTAATTTTAGCTTCTATTCCTAACGATCTTCCCGAAACAATTAAGAACGAATTGACAGAAAAAAAAACTAAAAATATAAATTTAAACATCATATACTAGATAACCTAAATTAAGTATTGAAAATTTCCAATTACCTCAGTAAAACTTATAAAAAGACAAAATTAATTATTAACTAATTATTAAAAATAAATAAATTGATATAGAAATCAGCCTGTATATGAAAAGTGCACACTCACTACCTATATATGTCTTAAGAATTGTATAACATACCGTACACTCTCATCGCGGTAAAATAATGAAACTTGTTTGTTGTCATGTAGCTAATACTATTTAGAATGGCTAATTAAATGTTGAATATTATAAGAATGTGTGTGTAAAGTAAGATATACGTACTTAATTGTTATCATAATTAATTTTTACCAATTTTATGATAGTAGGAGATATACGTAGCCCACCAATACAAACCGTTTCTCTATGGTGCTGTATAGTAACTACATATGTAATATGTTTTATGTATAATTGAAAAAAAAAAAGTGGTGGGAAGTCCCACCCCTGGGGCACAGCTCTCCTAGTTTTTAAGAATATGATACCACATGAGTAAAGAAACCGACTAGAGGCAAAGCTTCATACGACCGCGATATGACAGGTACACTACTACAAGCTTGAGGAGCGTGTGTGCGTGAGCCCTCGCGGCTCGACGCGTACAGAGATACTGTTTTACATCGGCCAGCTCAGTGCTCAAGCTCAGCATTTTTTTTTATAGAAGAGCGGGCAAACGAGCACACGACTCACCTGATGTTAAGTGAAATTCAGCATGTACAGGTCACGAAAAAAGAAAGTGTAAATTTGGTTTACTGTAGAGTATGAAGAGTAATAGAACGTATATATACAATTAATAATTATTATTAATAGCATATGCAATCATATTGGGTATGTTCCGAAACGTTTTCAGTATACTGCCGAATACAAATGACGTCATCAATTGACACTATACTGTACTGGCGTGCCGCCGCCATATTGGATCGGATATCCGGCCATAATAAAACAATATTTAATTGTATGTGCGCTGAATGAAGCATGCCAGAATTTGTTTTTATTTATTCAAATGCAAAAAAAAAATAGAATAATTGTTGGTAACCTAAAAAAAACCTAATGATTTTTGGAGCACAAAATGACAAAATAATCGCCAACACTTTTCCAATATGGCGCAAATGTAGGACTTCATATACTGTCCTGTTTTGGAACGAATCACCAGTATAGCGTCGATTCATGACGTCATTTGCATTGGACAGTACACTGGGTTCTATTTTGGAACATACCCATTGTTGTAACTTGTTCAAAGCAAATAAAGTTAAAGAAATATACCAATAAAACGTGTGCAAGCTTGTAAGTGTTTTCTAGTAGAAATTTTAAGGAAGCCACTTTAATTTTTTTTTAATTTACCATTCCACTAAAAGGCAAAACAAATTATTCAAAAATAAAAAATAGAAAAATAAAATATTTACAGTAAGTAGTTTGTAAAAACAAATGTATTATCATCGGTATCTACATAATACAAGCTGATAAACGTTTTGTTAATTTTATACTAGCTGGTACTCGACGCGTTGCTGCCGCAGAAAAAAATAATTGTGGAAATATTGTTTTAAATTTGGAACAGTTATAATGAAGTTGAATTATATATAACTTGCAAATAAATGTTTTTTTTGCGACTTAACATTTTGTAAAGCTTCCAACGTCTTCGATAGATGGCGTTGGCGTCGAAGTAGAAGTCGCAAGCGGAAGTCAAACGCTTCTTAATAAAACGACTTCTAATACGACGCTAACTCCATCTATCGAAGACGTTGGAAGTTTTAAAAAATGTTAAGTCGCAAACAAAATGTGTCTGTACTATACTCGCGCCAACTACTGTAAGATAATTGTACTATGCCTATAGCCTTCGCGCGAGTGCAATCAAAATGTTAACAAAGTTTTAACCCAATCTGACGAATGATATGGTAGCGCATAATTTACGAACAAACGAACTGTGTCAACCCCACCAAAATAGTTAAAAAATTTGAATGCTCCTTAGAAGCTTCGCCTCTGGACAGGACAAAGAAAAAAAAAAAGGGTCTTTTTACGTTGTGATAGTGAGATGCTACTATACTAACACAGTTTGATATGTAAATAAGACACCGATAAGTTTTTATAAATCACTAAATACTGATTTATGGTATAATCAAAGTTGTTTACGCAAGGTTATTAAAAGCTGCCGCTTGCGGGACGCGCGTCTCGAGCGGGATGAGGAACCGGTTAGCGTTGCGTGGTAGGTGGGGCGCTTGCTGTGCGCATACGGCGCTGCCAGCGTCCCAGTCGGCAGGAATCTTTGAGCGGTGAGACCGCGCCTGTGGGGTTCGCGAGATTAGCCTAGAACATTCGATTTGCGCGACGACCGGGTCGATTTAGAGGTCGCGAGTTTTGATATAATAGTTGCGTCACCTATAGACGGCCTCCATGGTGTTGTATTTTGTCGTTAATATACGTGACAACGAGGCTTTTTGATTTTGAATTATTGAATTAACTTAGATTGTTATTAATTTGCATCGACGAGTGACTTGTGTAGCTAATTAGAGTTAAACTAAATTAGTTAAATTGTACGAAGGAATTTTGCTTTCGTGTGGAACGCTGAACTTTGTAATCCGGGTGTAGATCGCGCGCGATTATAGTTCGTGCTAAGTGACGCTGGACTTGAGTTCCGATAGCGGTGGGCGTCTTGTGGAGCGGTCGGCGCACGTGGTGCTGCTATCTGATTGTATCGGTGACGTCAGGTTACACTATACACTTTCCTACACTACACACCCACTACCATTTACTTGCCCCTGACGCCACTTTGTAGTAGACCCTACTTCTGGAATTCGGTAAGTTTTGTGTTTGCGTATCTAACCGTTATAATTTAATTATCCATAGGTCATTGGACCCTCCCCTCTGTTACCCGTCGAATTGGGTTACTGTGGTCCCTAGCTCAATCGACCTTTGTCGGGGTAACTCAGGGCCGTAACATTCTGGTAGCAGAGCGTGATTAGGTAGAAACAATCAACCCCGCATTCTGGTAGCAGATCGTGGTTGATTGGTTACAATCACTCCCGGCCGTAATACGTTATAAGCCGTTCGTTGCGTAAGCGGAGTGTAGTTTAGAGTTAGGTACCTACGCGTCAGATTTTTGTATTTGTATTCGTATTGTAGACTATATTACCGAAGGGTCAGTCGCCTCAGCGTGGCATCTTGGTTGACCAACTGTAGTGAGTACTTGCAGTGCAGTAATTGCGTTTAATTTAATTAATTGTAATTTTATTAACCACTTTGTAGTAGACCCTACTTCTGGAATTCGGTAAGTTTTGTGTTTGCGTATCTAACCGTTATAATTTAATCATCCATAGGTTATTGAACCCGCCCCTCTGTTACCCGTCGAATTGGGTTTCTGTGGGCCCTAGCTCAATCGACCTTTGTCGGGGTAACTCAGGGCCGTAATTATTTTTTTAACATACCTTGATTGAAATTTCGTACTTCCACCCTATTTTCAGAGACGAAAGTGCCACAATGTCTCCAGATAATGACTTATTATTTATTAAGCATGCGTCAAATTTCTAGCTCTATAGCTCATAAACGTCAAAAGTATATGATGTGATACATTTTAACCTCACAATGATTTGTTTATTTAGTACGCATGCGTCAAATTTCTAGCTCTATAGCTCATAACCGTCAAAAGTATGTCGTGATATATTTTAATCTCACAATGATTTGTTTACTTAGAAACGCATGCGTCTTATTTCTAGCTCTATAGCTCATAAACGTCAAAATTATATGTCGTGATATATTTTAACCTCACATTGATTTGTTTACTTAGAAACGCATGTGTTTAATTTCTAGCTCTATAGCTCATAAACGTCGAAAGTATATGTCATGATAATTTGAGAATAAATTATATTATTCGAATTTAAATCGAACTTTCGATCCTGGTCTGATAAAAAATAGTGTACGCACTGCGGGAGAAAAGTATGACATCGCGACCCGCGTTCTTATGACACACGCCTTCACTCGGGTGACAATACTACGCGGGTTGCAATGTCATACTTTCCTCCCTAGTGGCGTATACTATTACATTTTAAATATTGCTTTTTGCTCTTAAAAAATAGAATATTTTTGGCCAATAATGTTGAAGAAGCTCACTTCTTCTTTCTTTGTACTGCTGGGTTGTTCTTCGCTGCTTTCTGCTGAGCTCTTGTCCGAACTGCTGTTGTCCGAACTCGAAGAGTCGCTGTCCGTCTCGCTGTCCGAAGTGCCGGAATTTGAAGATCTGACAACATTAATTATTGAAGTAGCTGAGTAAGAATACTAGATAGAGGCGATAGAGGGAAACTGTCTCAGGGAATGGGCAGTAGCATCCTACTGAAAACTTTAAAATAATGAAGAAGCTACAATTGCCAAGCTGCCTGCCAAGCGTGGGCACTGGCGAAATCCCTCCTGCTAGCAACCTATGGGGGAGGCCTATGTTCGGCAGTTGACTTTTATAGGCTGTAATAGAATGGATGGAGTAAAATGGAAGTGGTAACTTGGTGAGTAACGGATAAGTTGTTAAAAAATAAAATAAAGATACATATACAAGGTGTCTCAAAAGTAAGTTCACATTTGCTTATCTTATTACGCGAAAGCAACTATTCTGAGGGGCGCGGGGGGTATGTCAGTCGGTAGTCTGGCTCTTGGGAATTTAGTCGCTATGGAGCGTTTCTCTGGTGCGGACCGTGCGTTGTGCGTACGTGAGTTTTACAAAAACGGTAATTCGGCGACTGTAGCGCGTAGAAAATTCTGCAGTATTCGACATATTCGTCACTTAAATGATGCGCCTAGCACTCGTCTCATTGCAAAATGGGTTGAGAAGTTTGAAGAGACTGGGTCAACTCTGGAGAAACCAAAATCTGGGCGACCAAGAACATCAAGAACAGCCGAAAACGTGGACAGTGTTACTCAGTCTATTCGAGATGATCCAAACCTCTCGATTCGGAAGCGTGCTGTTGCTTTAAATGTGCACAGATCTTCATTATGCCGCATTTTACACAAAGATTTAAAGCTGCACCCGTACAAAATTCAGTTAGTGCAAGAACTGAAGCCTCAAGATGCTGGTCAGAGGCTTGCCTTTGTAAATCAGATGATTGAGCGCTTTCCAACGTTCACCAACATCTTGTTTTCCGATGAAGCCCATTTTCACCTGAATGGGCATGTAAACAAGCAAAATTGTCGTTACTGGAGTGCAACCAACCCAAAACAAAAACATCAGAAACCGCTACATTCACCCAAAGTCACCGTATGGGCAGCGATGTCGGCGCGAGGAATTATCGGCTCTTACTTTTTTGAAGATGGAAGGGGACGCACACTCACAGTGAATTCAGAGCGTTATGTGGAGATGTTAGACGAGTTTTTCGTACCCCAACTGCAAAACTTTCCTGGTTACAACCAAAGAACATGGTTCCAGCAGGATGGAGCAACTTCACACACGTCCAACAGATCTCTGCCTCGAGTTCGAGAAATTTTTCCGAACAAATTAATCTCCTGGCGAGGTGACATAAATTGGCCTCCACGGAGTCCCGATTTAACGCCTATGGATTTTTTCCTGTGGGGTTATGTCAAATCAAAAGTTTACGCTAATAAACCGACTTCCCTGGCACAATTAAAAGAAAATATCCGTCATGAAATGGCAGCCATCACGGAGACTACCTGCCGAGCTGTCATAGGCAATTTTAGTGCCCGACTAAATGAATGCCGAGAGCGCAACGGTTTACATTTGGACAATGTTATTTTTAAAAAATAAATTCCCAAACAGTGTACTTCAATATAAAATAAACATTTTTTCAATAAAGCTAAGACTTTTCTTTTAAAAAAAAGATTTAAATGTGAACTTTCTTTTGAGACACCTGTTATATCTATGCTAGATTTCGAAGAACTAGGATGAAATGCCCCATTGCTAATGAAAAGGGTTTCTAGTACTCGTCATGTATTAACACAAAATCAGATCAAGATGTTGTAACGGCTTTTGAACAATATTTTACCGATTCCGATCTTTTTTTCCGATCTTGACTGCAAAGTAAATGAATTTCTAGCCTTCTGTCGCCGAGTCATTACTCAAACAAAATGTAAATGTTTGAAAAAATAATTTGCATTTCATACAATATTATAAGGAGATATTGTAAAATATTTCAAAACTATTGATATTAAGAAAACAGCTGATCTATGGGGGATTTCCGTTAAATTTACTGCGTCTATAATGTCATCATGTAGCCTGCCGCGCAGAACAGGATTATAATGCCCAAGTGTATGCACAAGCACAGGTGCACTCTCTATTCCCTCACTCTCACTCTCATAGTCCGATGGGACGGTAAACCACACGACCGGAGAGATATCAGGCGCAGGACCAACGGCTTTACGTGCATTCGGAGCTACGGGGTTAAGACACCGACAATTTCCTGATTCTGGACAGCTACTGAGAATTTCTTGACAGAAAAACTCAATAATTGTTTATTCAGCCCGGGATTCGAACCCAGGACCTCATGATCAACAGTTGCGTGTAAACGCACCACTAGACCAACGCGATTATTAAGGACGTCATCGAAGCTTAGTGATTTTGGACGTCATAATTATATACTTGCTGTTTGTATGGAAAAATACATAATTTTTCATCCTAATCGACATTTTTATTAACCTCGCAACAATATTTACGAAAATTTAATGTATGAAAAACAAAAATAGTTTTAATAAAAATAATGATGTACATTCCATAAACACTAGGAACTAGCACAAGTTAGTTATACCAGTAACTCGACTACATAGATTCAGTAATTCCTTCACGGGTCAATGTATACGCTTTAATAACAAAGTCATAGAAAATATGCAAGCCTATCTATCAAAAAGTTTAAAATTTTATGAAACAAAAAATTTTTAGTACGGGTTATTATACTACTAAAATGTACATGATTGATAATAACGCCTGGGAACCTGTGAGGGTGATCACTGCCATGCTGTTTCTAATTGTTTTCATATTAATTGTGTATAGAGATTATATTGTATATTTTTTTTTAATCCCGCTGGGTTTTTTGCTGGTTTATCCTAGGACATGACGTGAAGTGGTAAAGTTTAAATGACTTTAAATAAGTATTCTTGTAATCTATATTGAATAAAAATGGTTCTATTCTAGTCTGTGTACATACCTCGTACTACAAAATCCATCAAGTCGTTTAGACTCACAAAAGAGACAAACAAAAATTAATATACATTAGAAAAACATTAAAAGGTGAGGGTAGATGGATAAAACTTATACCTTATTAACCTCTCAACCCCCTAGCGGTCTCATGAGACCGCACCCACCCACAGCACTATAACCCATAAAAACTTATTTATAGAGACTACTTTTCTATGAAGAAGTTTGGCACTATATAATCATTATGAAATACTCTATCTTCTAAGTGCAATAAAAAAACTGTTATCCTATTAATATTTATTTACAATCTACGTTCATTTCGTACGACATTTTTGCGTAAATGTTATTGAGTTGATTTTTGGATTTTTATAGTGTTTTATTGGTGTTTTAGTATAGTGTTTTATTATAAAATTGTAATGAAAGTTTTTGCGTGAATATAATTTATCTTTTTACGTAAATAATTTCCAGTAATATAAATTGAAATAATTGTGATTTAGACGCTGCCGAAATTCGCTTGGTATGTTTTTTTTGTCATCAAAATACAATAAAATCTTTTTGTAATGAAGTAAAACCTGACTTTTGTTTAGACCACAAGATAGAGAATTTTGTATAGATTTTATAATGCTAAACTTCTTCAAAAGTAGTCTCTAAATATAAGTTTTAATGGTTTTAAGTGCTGCGGGTGGGTGCGGTCGCATGCGACCGCTCGGGATTTGCCTGGAGCTTGAAGGGTTAAAGTATAGCACATGAGAGTTTTCAAAATCATATCTTATATTTACTTGAAAAAACACATTTTTGATATTCATCCGCGATTTTCCAAAGAGTCGAGTGCATTAAAGCGCTCTTTATAAATGTGGGGACTGACTAGTTTATGTAACCTTGGCTATTTCCAAGCTTTTGCTTATGAATCAATGCGAGCTCACAGGATTTTAAGATAAAACAAGAAGCTATTGTAAAACCCTATTTTTAAATATAGCAATAAAATAAAGTTAATAAATTAAGTTACCGATAATTATTGGTCTCATTTCCTTTATCAGTCTTTTTCTCCTCTTTGTCGTCTTCCTCTCTGTAAAAAGTAAATGCATTTTATATGCAACATTAAAATAAAGTGTTCTGTGTGGATGTACTTTCAATGTTTACGTAAGAGGAAACATGAAAGGCGGTTGCGCCAACGAACACCCTTGCATTTCGTATTTGTTAGTTGGGGTGGCTGGCATAATCTCCCCCCTCCTCTTCTGTTCCTTCCCCGCACGAGCCTGCCTAGTAAGGAGAAGCTAGAGACGGGTGGCATCTTTGGTCCTCCAATAAGAGGCAAGTTCCGCCAAGTAGAAAAGGGAGATGGCGGAAGCTATACCTAGACTGCACTAAAAGTATCGGGAATGGAATATAAATCCTCTTCCTGTCATATTAAAATCTTTTTAATTGAAAATTCCTTGGTTTTAAAAATCGAATACCACTTATTTATTTAAAAAAAGATTCTCGGTCTTGTCACAAGGTTTTGTCAAACTTGTTTAGTCGTTGAGAAAATGGAATTGACTTGAGAAAATTCAAGAGCGATGATTTATTATGACTTTCGAAGTGGTTTAACACAAAAACAGTGTGTTGACCGGATGATTTCTGAATTTGGTGATGAAGCCCCACCGAAAACCACAATTTATCGCTGGTTTGCTGAATTTCAACGTGGACCTGTCAAGCTCAGTGATGATCCCCGTCAAGGTCGTCCAAAAACTGCAGTCACCCAAGAAAACGTTGATGCTGTGCGTAAGCTGATTGAGGAAGATCGACATGTGACATACCGCGAAATTTAGGCAACTTTAGATATTGGCATGAGTCAAATGCAAATAATCTTGCATGAACAATTTGGTGTAAAAAAGTTGTTTTCCCGATGGATACCGCATTCGCTCTGTGAAGAGCAAAAAGCGGCTCGCGTTACTTGGTGCATCAGAACTCTCGAAAGATTCCACGCAGGATCCTCAAATGCTGTATACAACATCGTATCAGGTGACGAATCCTGGATATACGCGTACGAACCCGAAACAAAAACCAGTCACGTGTTGGGGTGTTCGAAAATGAGTTAAAGCCAACAAAAATTGTTCGTTCACGGAGTGTTGCAAAAAAAATGGTGGCCACGTTTGTCTCCAAAACCGGCCATGTTACGACTATTCCTCTTGAGGGACAAAGAACGGTTAATGCAGAATGGTATGCTAGCATTTGTTTGCCACAGGTCGTTTCTGAACTCCGTAAAGAGAACTGCAACCGCCGCATCATCCTCCATCACGTCAATGCGAGTTCTCACACCGCACACAGAACAAAAGAGTTTTTAGAGCAAGAAAACATAGAATTATTAGACCATCCGCCGTACAGCCCCGACCTAAGCCCTAATGATTTCTATACTTTCCGTAAAATAAAGAATAAATTGCGTGGACAGAGATTTTCATCACCTGAAGAAGCTGTGGACGCCTACAAAACGGCCATTTTGGAGACCCCAACTTCCGAATGGAATGGTTGCTTCAATGATTGGTTCCATCATATGGAAAAATGTGTCAAATTTCGCGGAGAATACTTCGAAAAGCAATAAATACATTTTTAAATAGTAATGTTGTGTCACTTCCTTGATTCCCAAAATTTTCAGTGCCGCCCTCGTAAGAAGACATGCGCCACCATCGTCGTCGCAATACAATTTTCGTCGTGCCCGCACAGTCGTCAAGAGAGGCCGCTCGCCGTTTCCCCAGGTAAGTGCCCATCCTTAATATGAGCTGTTTTATTTGTTGTTCCTTTATCCGCAGCAGGTCGTCTCCCGTCGTGTCAGCTAACGCCTCAAATTAATTTCAAAGCAAGTATATTGTCCAAAGTCCACCACGTGCCACGTCCGCCATTTTGTTTTGGTTCCTTTTGAACCACGCTAATGCACTTGATCGTTCGCCCCGCCATACATTTTGTCACTTTTCGCGTACCCAAAAGGTATGAAAAGTTCTGTGCGGTGACCTCGGTGAATTCTGACCAAGATAAACGATGTGCATGATAAATTTTCAATAGATAAAAATTATTTTACTTATGCACTTTAGAAAAACTCACTCATCAGATGACTGTTCAGAACTGCTAGAAGACGAAGAACCTGAAGATGTTGATCCTGAACCGTCGTTGTCTGGCTCCGAGTAGAAGGTCTTGTTTTTCTGTTAATATTTAATAACATATTTACATAATTACTTTACGTTTCATGACATTATATACAAAACATTTTATCATTTATTCATTCATTCACTACATCCTATGAAGTATAATTACGGCTATTACTGTTGCTAGGTCTTCGAAAAGAAAATCAAATGTTGAATTGTTCATTATTTATTTTACTTGAAATAGTCTATTGCTGATTATAGGTCTGCCTCATAGTTATTACTATGGCAAGTAGCTAACTTGCCAAATTTATCACCAATCCCACCCATCGGCAGCCGTAGTTTTAAAAAATATTTTAGATTTGTAAACCAGCAGGGGTTAAAGCACCAAAAGAGAGAAAGCGCTGCGGCGGGCGAGTCAGTGGGCAGCAAGTCTCACCTGCGCGGGGGTGTCGTGCTTCGCTTGCTGCGCTGCGGCGGGCGAGTCGGCGGGCAGCAAGTCTCACCTGCGTGGGCATGTCGCGCTGCGCTTGCTGCGCTGCGGCAGACAATTCGGCGGGTAGCAAGTCTAACATGTGCGGGCGCGTCATGCTGCGCTGCGGCAGACAAGTCGGCGGGCAGCAAGTTTCACCTGCGCGAGCGTGCCGTGCTGCACTTGCTGTGTGCTGCGGCAGACAAGTCGGCGGGCAGCAAGTCTCACCTGTGCGGGCGTGTCGTGCTGCGCTTGCTGCGGTGCGGTGGGCGAGTCGGCGGGCAGCAAGTCTCACCTGTGCGAGCCTGTCGTGCTACGCTTACTGCGCTGCGCAGGCGAGTCGGCGGGCAGCAAGGCTCACCTACGCGGGCGTGTCATGCTGCGCTTGCTGCGCTGCGGCGGGCGAGTCGGCGGGCAGCAAGGCTCACCTGCGCGGGCGTGTCGTGCTGCGCTTGCTGCGCTGCGGCGGGCGATTCGGCGGGCAGCGAATTTCACCTGCGCAGGCATATCGTGCTGCGCTTGCTGCGCTGCGGCGGGCGAGTCAGCGGGCAGCAAGTCTCCCCTGCGGAGGCGTGTCGTGCTGCACTCGCTGCGCGGCGGCAGACAAGTGGGCGGGCAGCAAGTCTCACCTGCGCGGGCGTGTCGTGCTGCGCTGCGGCGGGCGATTCGGCGGGCAGCGAATTTCACCTGCGCAGGCATATCGTGCTGCGCTTGCTGCGCTGCGGCGGGCGAGTCAGCGGGCAGCAAGTCTCCCCTGCGGTGGCGTGTCGTGCTGCACTTGCTGCGCTGCGGCAGACAAGTGGGCGGGCAGCAAGTCTCACCTGTGCGGGCGTGTCGTGCTGCGCTTGCTGCGCTGCGGCGGACGATTCGGCGGGCAGCGAGTTTCACCTGCGCGGGCATATCGTGCTGCGCTTGTTGCGATTCGGCGGGCAGCGAGTTTCACTTGCGCGGGCATATCGTGCTGTGCTTGTTGCGCTGCGGCGGGCGAGTCGGCGGGCAGCAAGTCTCACCTGCGCGGGTATGTCGTGCTGCGCTTGCTGCGCCGCGGCGGGCGCGTCTCGCAGCGTGGCGGGCAGCGGGACGCGCGGCGCGACGGGCAGTGGCCGGTAGCCAGCGGCCGCGCTGCCCAGGTACTGCGACAGCGAGCCTACCGTGTACTGCTGTCGGTCTGCGGGCACAGTGGTACACTTCTTTATACACTTTATATACTCCTTGACAGTCCATTGCTGCAAGTGGGACCGGACCGCACACCTTTAACTGGTATCAAGACAGTCCGTCTTGGTCTCTCAACATCTGCATTTTGATCCTTAATCGAGGATTGGTGTAGATTTTTTTTAATTTATTTAGGACAACAAACAATTACATAATAATGCTTAAACCAAATAACATTTTATAAATAATATTAGCCATTATGTAACCAGCACCGTTATCCACAAAGTAATATTAAATTGGTAACAGTAAATAAGAAATGCACAATAAACAGAGTATAAGTGAAAAAGGGAAAATAAAATAAAATTAACAGTACTCAGTAACATAAAAATCAAAATGAGACAAAAGGAAAAAAAATAATTAAAAAAAATTGCTAGCAGTATAAATTTATCTTGTAAAATATTTAAAGATACTATTGAATATCTACCAACTTTCTTAGAATGTTCTTGCGAAATTGTAACTGTGATGAAGTGAATAGATCAATATTTGAAAAATGCATGTTATATACTTTAATAATACGTCTTAATGGGGCGCGTTCACCTGCATTGGTTTTACATAGTTTAGGCGCAAACAATTTATGTATATACACGTCTCTAATGCGTTGAGAACGACTAGGGACACGGATATATATTTTGTTAAGTAGTTTACTACAATCTAAATCATTTCGAATTATTTTGAATAATAGTATCAGATCAAAGTATATTCTTCTTGCTTTTAAAGTATGAATTGAAAACCTTTTTAATAAGTTACGATACGATGATTTAGCGTGGTAACATTTATAATTTATAAAACGAAGAAACTTTGGTTGTAGATTTCTATGTCTATAGGCCACAACATACACTTAAGACTTCATCCAGAGACAATTTTGAGTTGAAACTCAATTACCGCAAGACAAGGTTTAAATTTAAGCTCGAGATCGACGCTAAATAAATTGCATCAGTTAATTCTTCCCTCCCATTCTACCATCGGTTGTTCCCGACATACCTCGCATTAAAACTTAACAGTTTGCTTCGTCGTTCATAATGCGTACAGTAAAGGAGTAGAGCAATATGCCAGAATCTGTCTTTACATCATATTGTAATATGACACCAAGTCAAGAGTTTTAAAATCCTTGAATGCATAACCATTAGGTGAAATATTAGTCAGACATGGACTAAGATTTAATATAATATTATAGTGATTAAAAATACGGTTTTAGTGTCAGGTGCACTGTGTGCTCGTTTGTCACCCTCACGGTGATTGTCCACCGCCGCCGTCACCAGAACCTAAACGAGAACGAGATTATTACAGGCCAAGATCAAGATGACGTGATGGCGATCGTTTGTCGACCGCGACGATCTCGGTGATTCAGTCAGTTAGTTATAGCTGTCGTGCATCGGCGCGGTGCGACGTGATGGTGTCGATGTGGATGGGCAAGTTTAAATGTGTTTTGTACTGTCGGTACATCGGTCCGTCATAGTCTCGGGTCGAGTTCTAGCGGTCAAACCGATCTTCTCTAAACTTCGGCGGCCGGGATGACGGCGCTCGGGCGACGGTCTTGCGGTGGACAGGCGGCTATAGTAAATGTATGTGTTGCTACTTCGGCGCCGTCATCGCGTTCTCATTGACTTACTGGTGACGGCTGCGGTGGACAATCGCTCTAACTCAATTAATAAAATATATTGCGTAATAAATATTAGCCATAACCGCCACTTCCCCCGAAATTTCCCCGGAAATTGCCTCATAAAAAGGATTTAGCCATAATTTCCTGCATTTGCATTCTTTCTGTCATTTGCCACATTAGCTCCTGACGACATCAAAAAGTAATATGAACAGAATTATAATTAATGATTCCTCTTGTATGCTTCATCAATCCTACACTAGAATAAAACAGTAACCTCTAACAAAATACACCAAGTTAAACTCAGCAGTTTTTTAACTACAAAATATAAAATGTCGCGTCAAGAAAAAATATTCTTACAGTTACGTAGATAAATTTCAATTTATCTAAACACAAATGAAAGCACATAGTGTGACAACCTAAAAATGGTTGTCACACTATGTACTTTCAAACGAAACTCACCCCTAAAATTGCTCTCTATGGTCGGTTTCGGCTTGTCCGGACAGAATATGCTAGCCGCGTACTGATGTAGCAAAGAGCCGGGGGGCGGGTCTACAAAGCGGCGTAGCAGACGCGCCCGATCACGCACGTCGTAGCTGGCGTCGTATCGTGCCAGGGACAGCACGTAGCGGCACATCGCCACCGTGTCCGGTTGGGTTATGGACAGTTTTACTGCTAGTGATAGTAGTTGGAGTTTGACCAACTCTTCCTGGATGGGGAATGGAGATAATACTAAGAACAGTACAATTATAATATCTGAATTATGGTTCTACATTTAGCGTAAAGCGTAATATAGGTTTGTAGATATTAACTTCCGTTTGCATGCATATTGGTGGAAGAAAGTCGTGAGTACTTTAAAGTGGTTGATGTGCAACTGTCTCCAAGAAATGATGTTATAAACTAATATAATAGAGACACACACAGGCACACTTACATACATACATAAATACATGCAAACTGATGATTGAAGAACTCTGACGACGACGACGTATGTCCCTTAAGGGTGGCTAACTCCAAAAAAGGCAAACAAATTTTTCAGATTGGAAATAGCAAGCGTAATGCTGCTTGCTATTTCCAATCTGATAAATTATTATAATTTAGTGTGTCATTAAATCCGTATTAATTAAACCAATCTGGTAAAGTCTTCTTTCAAGTCCGTCAACGTATTCTTAACGTCTAACCATATTCAACTGTAAACTGAAAAGGCAGACGATGGTGGAAACTCGGCGTAAAAATAGCATACCGTCGCCATTTATCTTTTAATTATTATTTAAAACTATAAACAGTACACAGGTGGGCACAGGACTTGGAAGAAAGATTTAAACTTTCTACGAAGTCTTAGTCTAATGCAATTACCACCTTTGGTAAGTGGATAATCCACTTGGTACAACCATTTGATTATTGATATACAGCCTTTCATTAGTCATTGGACAATTAGACATTTTAGAATTTAACCCTTCAAGCTCTAAGTGGTCGAATTCGACCGTGGCGCTATTCTTTCAAAATTCAAGCGATCGAATTCTACCGCGCACACCCACAGCACTTTAAACCATTAAAACTTACGTTTAGAGACTACTTTTCTATGAAGAAGTTTGGCATTATAGAATTAATATGAAATTTTCTATACTCTAGAGCAATAAAAAATAGTTATGCTTAACAATTTTTTATTGCTCTAAAACGTAAATTAACGTAAAAACGTAGATTATAAATAAATATCCATAGCAATGGATATTTATTTATGATCTACGTTCATTTCGAACGCCATTTTCGCGTGAATGTTTTTGTGTTGATTTTTGGATTTTTCTAGTGTTTTATTAGTGTTTTAGTATAGTGTTTTATTATAAAATTGTAATAAAGTTTTTGTGTGAATATAATTTATCTTTTTACGTTAATAATTTCGAGTAATATATATTGAAATAATTGTGATTTTCACGTTGCCGACATTCGGTACACGGTGTGGAGTGTGGTGGGACATGTGTGGTGTGTGGTGGGACACGTGGGTGCGTGGTTTGGGACCTGGTGAGTGAAGGCGGCGGCCATGTGCGCAAGCACGGCGGCGGCGCGCGGGTGCGTGGCGCCGTGCTCCGCCACCAGCCACACCGCCGCTGCGCGCGCGTTGCCCGCCAGCCTGTACCCACCACACCATATTTAAAAAAATGGATGAATAACAAGCGCTCATCATCATCATCATTTCAGCCCTACACAAGTCCACTGCTGAACATAGGCCTCCCCCAAGTAATGCCACAAAGCACGGTCCTGAGCCACCTGCATCCATCGACTTCCTGCATGTCTTACCAGGTCGTCACTCCATCTAGTGGGCGGTCGCCCTACACTACGCCTACCGGTACGAGGCTGCCACTCGAGAAGCTTTCTTCCCCATCGGTTATCGGTTCTTCGAGTTATATGGCCGGCCCATTGCCACTTCAGCTTACTAATCCGTTGGGCTATGTCGGTCACTCTGGTTTTACTGCGGATATCCTCATTTCTGAGTCTATCACGCAGAAAAACTCCGAGCATAGCCCTCTCCATAGCTCGCTGAGCGACCTTGAGCGTCCTCATACGGCCAGCAGTGAAGGACCACGTCTCAGATCCGTAAGTCATCACTGGCCACACGCACTGGTTATACACTTTAGTTTCCAGAGATTGAGGTATACCTGACGAGAAGCTGTGTCGTAATTTCCCGACCGCTGCCCAGCCGAGTTGAATCCGTCGATTGACCTCTCGGTCGAAGTTGGACTTACCTAGTCGGACTATTTGTCCCAGGTAAACGTACTCGTCAACAACTTCGAGCATAGTGCTCCCAACAACTACCGCCATAGGTGTGAAATGCACATTAAACATGATCTTTGTTTTGTCCATGTTCATCTTAAGACCTATCCGTTGGGAGGCACTATTGAGGTCATTGAGCATAGTGCTTAAGTCCTCCAGCGATTCTGCCATAAGGACTATATCGTCGGCAAATCGAAGGTGAGTGATGTACTCGCCATTGATGTTAATACCGTATCCTTTCCAGTCCAGTAGCTTGAAAACGTCTTCCAACGCAGCGGTGAAGAGTTTCGGGGATGTAAAGTCACCCTGTCTTACACCTCTCTGCAGTTGGATAGGTTTCGAGCTCTGGTTCTGTACTCGGATAAGCCATCGTAGCCCTACCGTACAAACAATTCAGCACTTCGATATACCGACAGTCAACTTGGTACCGCTGAAGGGACTGTAGCACCGCCCAAATTTCAACAGAATCAAAGGCTTTCTCATAGTCCACATACGCCAGGCAAAGTGGCAGTTTGTACTCTTCGGTCTTCTGTACAATCTGCCGCAGGGTATGTATGTGGTCTATGGTACCGAAGCCTTTTCGGAAACCGGCTAGTTCAGGAGGCTGGAAATCGTCGAGTCTGCGTGCGAGACGATTCGTAATGACTCTCGAAAACAGCACGTAGACGCGGCTCAGAAGAGAAATCGGTCTGTAGTCCTTGAAGAGAGCGTTGTCGCCTTTCTTAAAGAACAAGACCACCGCGCTTCTGCTCCACGCCTCCGGAGTAGTGCCACCATGGAGGACGGAATTGAAGAGCTTCTGAAGGACTCAGTCCACCTAAACAAGCGTTCAGTCCACCTAAATACTTCACAGCCTGTAATTTTTCAGGCTGTGTACACTATACAGTACACTGAAGTAGAATGCTGTTTAACGGCAGAAATAATGTTCTCCTGACAAAATTCCGGAATTTATCGCAGTACGAGAGTACGCAATATTAGAAAGCAAATTAAATTTGTAAAAAAAAAGAAACTTTATTTTTTATTAGCATTTACTAATGTTTGTGGCCAGTACACACGATTATTAAAATAGCAGAAATTAAACCGTTTTTCGAGTTCCTCTAAATTTGTCCACAAGTGTATTTTTTATTCACGGTCAATTGGACGACTGCAATGCGGGTAATCGCATAGTGCATAATATGTGCCATAAATAACCCTTCACTTCATTTCGTTTCGTAAGCTGCCCCAAGATAGGCAGTTAACCATCTCGTTTACACCATGCGTAAAATATCCAGGACGGTGACGCGAAGGTCATGTAGTACCGCGAACGTTCCAAAAGTACCTTGTTGAAGTGTCAAGAGTGGAATTGACCTAGATTTGAGGGGGGTAAAGGAGGGGAAGTTATCAATTTTCTTCATGTTGAATATACGTTTATCAATACGCTTTCCCTTCTTAGTGAAATAATAACTAAATTATTTAAGCTAGGCGTGTCTTTCGGCGCGTTCTTGAAATGACCTATATTCAACAGTGGTTTGAATAAATCTGTGAGAGAAAAAAAAAACAAGAGGAAATGACTGAATAAATTTTCAAAAATGGGAACGGACAGTTCTCAAGGGGCAGCGTCGTACTGGCAAGCACAAAACATTGGATTTTAATTTCGTAGATACTGGTGATGGGGAGCAGCACGATAATTGCCGAGTGTGATATGGAAGCATTCTTGGAAAAACTGCTTTCACACCACATTCAGCAATGATCGAGCAGTTGACTTGAATTAGTCTGTTAATATGATGTATTATATGCGCGTAAATGTACGTGCTTTTGAACAAGCATGTTGCGTATACTGTGTATGCACGTACGTGTACGGGCGTAATATATGTATATATATACTAAGATGGAATGCTTGGTACTCAGTAAAAACTTTACACTCATTTTACGAAACACAGCAATATTGAGCAGCTATTTTACGCTGATATTCTTTGAGAGCGTGGTCCTTCCAAGGTCAAGTCGATACTTCGTGTTACAACCATAATACAGGGTTATTTTGCAATAACCGGCTAAGGTTGTAGAAGCAGTTTAGAATAGGTAATATAAGCGAATGGTGAAAAAACAAATAAACGAGAAAAAAAACTGAAACATTTTATCCTTTACATATATTCGCATTGTTTGAAAATGCATTATTTTAGTTGATTGTCATTCATAAATATGCGCACGCATTCGTAAGGGAATGTTGAATTCGGAAGCTGTCGTTAGCGTTCGGCGCTCGCAATCGGTTACAGATTTAGGAATCTAATAGTTGTTTTGACTCGGTGGAGACAAACGCGTCTCCCCGCCCATTCCCTCCGTTACACGTACGTTCACCTTCACCTGGCCGACCGACAGTGTTGACTTGACCGTGACCTCATGTTATCGTGTTACTGAATAACTTTCATTTCCAACACAATAGTGCTCCACCTCATTATTCAAGTGCAGTAAGTGATTGTAAGTGATTATTTAAATAGCGAATATGATGATAGGTGGATTGGGCGTGGCGGCCCCATACCATGGCCTGCAAGTTTACCGGAACTTACGCCATTAGACTTTTATTAATGAGGTGAAATGAAGAGACCTGTTTACGTCGAAGAGGCCAAAAGGTATGATGACCCTCGCAGCGAAATATTTGTTGCCTTCACGGAAGTGAAAAGTGCTTAAACACATGTAATTATTGTGAAAAATATTTTAAGGAAACGTGCTTAACTCTGCATTGTGAGAAACGGACTTTATTTTGAACACGTATTAAAATACCAGTAAGTTAGTTTTATTTTAAGTGATTGCATACCTAAGATGTAGGTAAATAAATAGTTCGTTGTTGTAAATACTCAATCGTTTTAAATTGTTAATAAGATACGTGAGGGTAATATAGTCACCTTAAGCTTTATCGCCCTATAAAACCAAAACTAGGAGAGAGACAGAGACAAAAACAGAATGTCAAATACAATAACTAATATATTGAGAAAAAAAAGTAAAACAAGCTTTGGAAATAATTAGGAATACCTCGAAAAATCAGCCTAAAAACTAACTACACTACAAATTATGGAAGTCGCCGCCGGAGGACTCAAAAAAAAACCAAAAATACTTTTATTAAGTTTAATTTAAAAGATATTACAATAAAAAAGAACTAATACTAATTAAACCTACACCCCGCCCGATGTTAGAAATGAAGTGAAGTGGCATCGTGGAGTTTCGTATACATAATGCTGTCAGATGACGCCGCAGGCGTCACTATGAATCCACGGTAGCTACATTTCCCATCAAGTTAGCAGAATTGCCTCGCTGCATTAGGTTTCTGGTAAGATGGTGTCGGTTGACACCTCGTGCGTCATTGTGAGTCCATGGCGATCGAGTTTCCCATCAAGTCAGCAAAACTGCCTCGTGGAAACAATGTTGAAATACTGTGTGAGAATACGAGGTTGCCGCGTAGTTCACGGTTTTGTAAGGCGCTTCCATATAACCTACACAACAATAAAATTGACCAAAATATTTAGTATTTACAACTCTCAAAATGGCAACGATGAAGCAACACCCTTTTGACACTTTAATATTTGAGATATCCTATCACATAGTAATCTATAGAAACAAGGCAACTTTTAAGTTATAAGAAAGTGAACATATTAACCGGATGAATACATTACCCTCACGTACTATAAAGTTGTAAATACTTGATTACAATTTTTTAAATACGCCATAATAAAGACAATCACCGGTTATGTCTGTGACAATTTCTGTCAGTTTTGAATATATGTTTATTGAACAGCGTAGCATACGCGCCGACGCAATGTTCGTGTCGGCAATGCTCGGCACCATTCGCATTGCCTTTGTAGCCGTCCGAGCGCCTTCATTTTTAGCCCTCAGCGCTAAACGCTCCCCCCCGAACAGGTTCCCGCCTTGTCGTGGCGGGGGGCTTAGAAGCCGTGGCTTGGTCACCCACAGCGAAACAAAGAGGAACCCATATGGCTGGTCCGAGGTGGAGGGCCGGCCCGAGGTGGCCACTCCGAGTGGGCTTGGGAAGCCCACTTCGGATGTGTGTTGGTGGACTGCGGTGAGAGGTGTGTCCTCCCCACCTACCGCTGCAGCCGAGGTGGAGTCGCGGAGGAAGAGGAGTGTTGGTATGGCGATGCGCCACTCGCCCTATCCTCCGCGACTCAAACGGGGCCGCACCGTTGATGCGGTGGTGATGGGGCTGCGGGGGGAGAGGATTGTCGGTATTGCGAGGCGCCGCTCTCCCTATCCTCCGCAGCCGAATCTTGGTTGGCGGCGGAGCCATAGACCAGATCCGCCGCTGGGGTCGGGAAGGCTAGTACTTCTAAGTGCTCGTTTTTCCTGGCCCCATGGCCTTCGCGCATCGGACGCGGGGGCGTCTGTTGCGCAGATGTAATTGGAGGCCGTGGAGGAAGGCGTGCCATGTGTTCTGGTGCGCCTTACTTGGGAAGGAGAACGGGGAGGAATATTCCTCTCCCGATGAGGTGCTGCCATGGGGCGGCAGTCGCTGGTGGGGCCGCGGATGTGTGCGAAAGCGTTCCCGTAGCCCTGCCAATATGCGACGAAGGTGGAACACCATGGGGTTTTAGTCGGTGCGAGTCCGACATAACCCGTCCTTGCCCCCCGCGAGGCGGGTATGCGTAGGCATTTCCCCATGTTAAAAAAAAAAAGCGCTAAACGCTCGCGTCGCCTAGTAACCATTATTTAAATCGCGTCAACCTATCATTGGCTTTCCAGGTCAAATATCTTTTCTACAACTAATTGTTTACATTTATTCCCCACCTCTTTCCATCGCTCTGTAGTCTAAACTTGTATTCCGAACTGTCTCTTGTGTGGAAGTAAAAAGAGTATTTAATTCGAGGAGTGCAGAACTTTTTGTTTGCATAGCATCCATCCTAGATGTCGTTGAAATGTAATTTTTTTATTGTATTTGTTACGATGGTCCTAAGCTCGTTTAAAGAATAAAGGGAAAATTGGAATTATTATGCACTTCGTAGTTGTCAACTTAATGGAGAGCGTGTCATGAAAGAAGTAAATAGTAGGCAAAAACTCCGTACATTGACGTACACATACGAACGCACGTTGTTGTTGTCCATAAATCATATTCAATGTTGGATATTTTCAAATAATTGTAGAAATCTTATTAACGCATATTTTTAAAGACTGCAAAAATCTATTTTAATTTAAAAAAAAAAACGTTATTTCCACACCAGGCTTTTCTCCTGTATCGTGAGGGCAGTTTACAAACATAAGTGTCACAAGGACAAACATCCAGACCCGGAACAATTACTTGTAGGCCATACATAATACCTGTTCCGTGTGGGATTCGAACCCGCGGCCCTTAGCGCTGTACTCATTGCTAAGCCACTGCGCCACGGAGCCGTCAAAGTGCAATAATTGTACATGAGTACTTATATCTTGTACTTAATTATTAAATTTGGCAAGTTCTTGAAAAGTAACCCTGTATATCTGTAGTGTGGCTCTACTAGGTATATTTGTTTTACTGTGTATGTGTATGTATTGTTGTGTTGTAAGATGTAGAACATGCGGCGACCTGTCGGAGCGCAGCAGCTTGGCGGCGCGAGAGACGGCGGGCGCGGCCGAGCTGGCGCTGCCGCCCACCACGCGCTTCACCACCACCACCGCCTCGCACACCACCCACTCTGCAACACCACCACCACCCTCACTACAATACTCTGACACACATTCACTCACCGACTGTGCAGTGGCAGTCTGACAATATACACTAATACATATCGTACAACGGCAACATAAGGAAACAAACCACGAATTGGGCAGCAACGTCTTTATAATCATCATCGTCATTACAGCCCTTCACAAGTCCGTTGCTGAACTTTGGCCTGAATGAATGCCGCAAAGCACGGTCCTGAGCCACCTGCATCCATCGACTTCCTGCATGTCTTACAGGTCGTCACTTCAACTAGTGGGGGGGTCGCCCTTACACTACGCCTACCTGTACTACGCTGTCACTCGAGAACCTATTTTTGCCATCGGTTGTCGATTCTTCGAGCTATATGGCCAGCCCATTGCCACTTCAGCTTGGTGTCGATCACTCTGGTTCTATTGCGAATATCCTCATTTCGAAGTTTATCACGCAGAGAAACCCCGAGCGTAGCCCTCTCCATAGCTCACTGAGTTACCTTGAGCGTTTTCATATCACCAGCAGTGAAGGACCCCCATAAGCAACGACACAAATCTTTATAACATCAACTTAAAAAAATTGCGGTTGTCAATCCAACTATGACAAAATATCCGCCTTATCAGACATGCTATGGGGAGACCCACGTTAAACAAAGGACTTTGACAGGCTATAATAAAAAATAATGAACATTGACTTGACTGGTCCTAAAACGGTAAATTTTACTAGCAAAAATACCAAATCGTATCGTCCTACACGATACGATTAACGCAAATTACGAAAAAAAAGCACCGAAAAATAATGAAATTTCATATCGCCGGCAATGTTGAAATTGTATTCAACCCCTCCAGCAATTCCATCATAATAATAATGTCCTTCACACAGAATTTCGGTTAAAGCGGCCAATCTTAACGGAGACTAGTCATCTTCTATACAGAACAATATTGTAGTAAGTGAGCGCGAAAGAACAGATGCACTCTCTATTTTTAACTCTCGTAATCACATTGAAATAATACTAGTTTTTACGGAATTTATCGCGTATATTTAACTTTTTAAATACCCGACATTTCGAACGCTTTATAGCCTGGTCACGAGCCCGCCGTGACCATGAGTGCTGTAAAGCGTTCGAAACGTCGGGTATTTAAAAAGTTAAATATACGCGATAAATTCCGTAAAAACTAGTATTATTTCAATGTGTAGTGTTCGCGTAAATATAAGAAATCATCTCGTAATCACGACACGACCGCAGTGAGATGGAACGCGATACTGACGGCTTTACGTGTTTTCCGAAGCAGAAGGGTGAAGCACTGCCAACTTTCAGACTCCGTGCCGCTACTGCTGACACACGTACCACATAAGTCTTGTAGGTACTTTAATTGCTGCATTAAGATTATAACTTGTTATTAATTGTCATTGAGCTATTATGTACTACGTACTAGAGGAGACACTACGTTCAGCTACTCTGTTCCACTCAACTGCGGTGCATGCACTGCACTTTAATCAGTCACTCGCTAGGCGCTTGTAGAGTTGTCACGTGTTGTGTTGATTTAAAAAAAATCTCTTGATAAAAATATGCCGTCTTGTGTACTTAGATATTGCACAAATAATTCAAGAAATGTCAGCACAAACCAAGGAATTACTTTTCATCGGTTAATAAGATACTTATTCAATAAAAAAGTATTATAAATTAATAATAAAGCAAATTATTCCTAAGACGCCATCTCGTATCATTGAATATAGATTATGAAATTAATATGTTCAGATGCGACATTTCTGTGGGTACTTAAGTTTAGGACGAATATATTATTATACTACACATTTTTTTTTGTAGAAACATATAAGTTATTATAATTAAGCTAAATTTTTCATGTTTAAATCTACTTATTATTCTTTTATTTTATTTTTAGGTTTCCACTTCAAAGTCAAAGTGGAATAAATTCGTCCATTTTTAACTCTCGCGTGCCCAGCATTTATGAACGATTATTTACAACATTTATGATTCTAATTTAAATAAATATATTTGTAATTTAAATTTTATGTTAATAAGTTTTGTTAAACATACATTTAGTACGTTTTTTTTATATTTGACATAGATACCTTTTACAATATTCAGATAACAATATCATTAAAATGTAATTCTGACATAATATTATGTAATATTATATTAAATTAGCACATATACAAAATAAAAAACAATTTAAAAAATTGTACTCGATATAATTAACAATACAATATAAATAAACAATTATTACATACTGACCATTCTACTTACGTATAATCTATAATAACAAAAACTGACCGCGCAAGCGCAATGCGCGTTTATACCAACTGCGCATGCGCGACTCTACTATTACCGCGCATGCGCGAAGACATAGAGTAGCGCACAATTTTTGTTTGGAATAGCTTCTCTAGTACGTAGTACATTATAACTCAATGTTAATTGTATAAAATTTTTAGAAATTTTGGTTCAATCTAATATATTTATATTAAAATATCCACAAACTATAAATTTATTTTTATTATTATTACAGTATTTTTTTAATATAAAATCAAAATTATACAAAAAATTGTTGAAATCATCACATCTATTTTTTGGAGGTCTATATATACATAGGTCTTCATTGGTCCTTCATTGTTGGCCGTACGAGGACGCTCTAAGTCGCTCAGCGCGCTATGGAGTGTGCTATGCTCGGGGTTTCTCTGCGTGATAAACTTAGAAATGAGGATATCCGCAGTAGAACCAGAGTAACCGACATAGCTCAACGGATTAGTAAGCTGAAGTGGCAATGGGCCGGCCATATAGCTCGAAGAACCAATAACCGTCGGGGAAAAAAGGTTCTCGAGTGGCAGCCTCGTACCGGTAAGCGAAGTGTAGGGCGACCACCCACTAGATGGAGTGACGACCTGGTAAGACATGCAGGAAGTCGACGGATGCAGGTGGCTCAGGACTGTGCTTTGAGGCGTACCTAGGGGGAGGCCTATGTTCAGCAGTGGACTTGTGAAGGGCTGTAATGATGATGATGATGATGATATATACATATTATTTTCAGTTTATGCTCTATAAGTTCAACTGCACTACATTCAATTATGTTTATTTTACATAGTTTTGCTATTTCAGGAAGATGTTTATATTTATTATATACGACATTTTTTAACTAATATGCAAGTGCCTCCATGACACTTTTCTCGAACATGGTACCATGCAAGAGTACAATTATCTAATTTGAATAAATACGTAACGCGAAGTACCCATCTGATTCGAGGATATTTAAATTAACAGTGACAAGATTTACAGACTGACTCTTGTTTACTGATACAGGTGTCGCATTACTTGAGGAGTACGCAGTAATTTTTTTAAATGTTTTTATAAATTTTTGGCATTTTTTATTTCTATTTTAAGTCCCTGAAGACTAATCTGGTATTCTTTGCAATTAATTTAAAAGTTAACTTTAACTTAAAGAAATTAAAGTTTAATTTAGTAATTTTATCGGCTTTTATTTCACAACCTCAACTCTACAGTATTTTCACTATTAAGATTATCTATTTTTTGATGAGCAACAAGTCACTTGACAGCTCATTTATTTTTTTCATTTAATTCAATATAATTTTGACTTTCATATAGAGATGTATTCGGTAAGCTTGCCACAGTTGCGTCAAACAGTGTAGAAGAAGAATCTAAATCGGACATAATATCTTGTAACAAATTAGAAAGTTTTGGTTTTCTGTGGGTTATATTTTTAAATTCCATTTTTTTTAGTTATGATTACTATTAAAAATAATCTTTTGTAAAAATTATATTTAAATACGCTCTTTCCTTAAATAAGCGAAAAAAATAAATGATAAATATATAAAAATATGAGAAGTCTTCCAACAAGTAACAGAATAACACTAACATAACAAGCCATTAGGCCAATCTTCTCTTAAGACTAACTATGAAGTTATCAGTATTATTGCCGATTTTCATAATTCTTAATAGTTGGCAGCCGTTAAAGTTATCAATTATGATTATTTTACTTCCAGCACAAAGTTCATGAACACGTTTTATAAGTCAATCAGTATAAACGCACTATATTGTACACATCTATAATTGACATAAAGAAGAAAAATACTATTTAATCTTTGTTAATCTTAAGTGGTGTTTTTAGGGTCTATTTATTGGTCACTTTTTACTTATTTACTTTTGTTCATTTATATAATCACAATAACATTAAACACTATATCACACACCACAATGATATTGTTTAATATATTGACTTTTTGTAGTTAATAATACAGTTTATATAACTTATGTGTTTAATTATTGAGGATGATATACTTCATGTGTCAACACGCTTAACCGGACCCCATCGGATGTCGATTCTATGAGTTATATGGCTACGGGATCATAATAATGAAGAAGAATAAATAAATAAAGAATACGTACCGTCCTTACTGGAAAGCAGATGGAGGAGTCCGTTCAAGCAAGTCTCAGTCTCGGTGTGTATGGCCACCGCCAGCCTTCCGATAGCCTGTATGGTGGCAGCAGCGAAAGCTTTGTCGTTGGAAGTGACGTAGGTCTGGTACTCCCGCAGGACCACTGGAGCGCTGGCTTCCGTCGCCAGGTTCGTCAGGATCTCCAGCTTCAGGAGCTTAATGTGGGTCGGGTCAGAGTTGCGGACGAAGAACGACTTCAGAAATGGTTCAAAGAGCGACTGAAAGGAGTAAATGACAAAATTTAATGTATTTTTTATACGTGGTAGAGCCATGCTGCAGTTATATTAGTAGTATAGTCACGAATGGGTTGGCTCGACCGGGGAAGGACCACGCTCTCACAGAATACCAGCGTCAAATAGTAGATTAATTCTGCTGTTTCGTATGGTGAGTGTAGAGAACCAGATACCCTTTTTACTGGAAACGAGGCATTCCATCTTAGTCCTCACGGGTGACAACGCATCTGCATTTTGATTCGTAATCGAGGGTAGATGTAGATGTCTACGGGCCACAGCAACCACTTACTATCAGGTGGACTGTGTGCTAGTATGTCACCCTATCCTATAAAAAAAATTATACTCAACACAAAGGAGGGTAGATTACGTTGTCACCTCTGAGGACTAACATCTTCGTTCTGAATTGCCTCTCGGTCTGTAATTACACAGGCTCTATATAACCTTGTGACCGGAACACAACAGTGAACGCTTTGAGATTTAGTTACTGAAATAGGTAGGAATAAGTACCGCCTTATCCAGACGGACTCCCAGGCAGAAAAGAAGACCAAACTCGTAGTAAATTGTTTTGATGACTTTCTATGTATCAAATTCGGAGCAAGGACTTTATATTGATTAAAACTTCTTTTACGGATTTTATCGCGTTGTCCGTAAAAGTAGTTTTAATTAATGTATAGTGTTCGCGTAAATATAAGAAATCATTAAGGACTTTATAGTTTTTATTAAAACAACCTTCATAATTGCAGGTTGTGAGGCATTCTATCATAGGATTGACATCGCATTCGGTTTCCTTTGTTTGATAATGATTGCAGGTGTCCACTGGCTGCAGTCACCATACACTTACCATCAGGTGGACTGTAAGTTGTTTGACACTAGTTTTATTAAAAACATATCGAGCACAAATATAGATGCGTGTACGCGATAGAAGTAATACTCCCGCGATTAAAAGATCCATTTTTACCCGACTGTCCCAGAAAGAAGATAATGTTGTTCGTGTATCAGTATGTATGCATGTACGTATATATTTGTGTATGTATGTCTGTTTCTACGACTCGCTCTGTAACCTTAACGGTTTGTTGGATTATAAACATACAAATCTAAAGGATTTGTCTTAGTTATGGAAGTGTCACTTGTGTGTGTGTCAAGTGAAGTGTAAAATAATTGATAGAATCAGGCGTTACTTTGCGGAAATCCATTATAATAAAGATATTAATAGTTACTTTGCAACCATCTGCTCAATTAAATAAAATGATGTGTCTCACCTAGTTTGAGGAGCACCTCTCGCCCTCCCTCAATTGGGTGCACTAATTCCACAGCACCACTACTACCAACACCACTATTCTAGGAAAGACACACGATCGACGATAATACGACAGGTGTTTCGCCTCTAAACGAGGCATCTTCAGACTCTACGGTGGCTGGCCGCTAAGCACTAAGCAATGCTAAGCAATTGAGGGAGGGCGGGAGGTGCTCTTCAAACTAGGTAAGACATATCATTTTATTTAATTGAGCGGAAGGTTGCAAATTAACTATTAATATCTTCATTAAAGTGTAAAATATTTGAAGTTTTTTCTTTTCTGTAGACAGACCATTTACGGTACAGTTTTTTTTAAATTACTGTTTGAAACATTAGGCTTGCTTCTTATTCCAAAAATAAACTTTGAAAATATTTTCATGTTATATAGCAGAGCTCACCCGTTTAGAGACCGTAAGCGCTGCGATGGAGTTGAGCACCACACTTTGAACTTCTATTGGAGCCCGGAGTAGACGAATCATGGCTTTCGCAACGGGTGGTAGTTCTTGAGCTGGAATGAAAAAAAGAAGATCGCTTTGATGAAACTCAACCGCATGGATCATGGATTAGTGTGCGTGCACCCTGAGGCAAGGGTACTAGATTCGAAGGCTCAAGTATTTTTTTATGTAAAAGTAAATAATGCTTTATTAAAAAGTTAATCTGCCACGCTGCTCTACTTCAAAATGCTCGCTAACAAGTACTGATGAAGGCAAACATTCTAAGGAAACCGGTTATTTCTCAAAAGCGAGGAAACAGTGTATAAATATTCCGATTCACTAAATTTCGCACAGAGCACTGAACAAGCAACAATAGAGATACCGGCGCAGTTTCTTTTATGGTCAGAGGAACCTCATTTTGAAACGGTTATAAAATATTCTTGACTTTTGAGGGTTGCTTACATCATAATCATTCCTTCTCAAATCCGTAACTGAATGTATTCCTCACCTAATAAATGCCACCACTCCTGGACCCAGGCTACCTGCATTCATTGATTCTCCGCATCCCTTACTAGGTCATAACTGCCATCTAGCGGGAGGCCGACCTACACTTCGCCTACTGGTACGAGACAGCCACTCGAGAACCTTTCTTCCCTTTCGGTTGTCGGTTGTTCGAGCTACATGGCCAGCCCATTGTCATTTCTGCTTACTGATCCGTTAGGCTATATCGGTTACTTTGGTTCTACTGCAGGCATAATAGTGCCTATATAAGTTCCACGGTTGGTCACAGGCCTCCTCTCTCTTCTGAGAGTTTTAGGGCAAGGAAACGTCCGCCGTACTACTCCAATGCTTGTTAGCGGACTTTACATGTCTTCGAAATGTTTTTTCATTTTTTTGGTTTCTCAGACATGCAGGCACGGTCACCACCGAGCACGTGGTAAATGAGCACTTAAAATTGCATTTAACAATTTTATTGATGCCGGCGCGGATCGAACCCGGGTTCCTCGCGTACTGTGAAATTTGCAGCGAGCGCTAAGCCCCTGAGCTACCACGGATCCACTACTGCAGATACCTATAGTAGTGAATCCGTGGTAGCTCAGCTCACTCATTTTGAATTCTATAACGCAACGAAACTTTAAGCATAACCGCATAAACGTGTGAATTTGACGTTATCATCATCATCATTATCATCACTAATACAACCTATAGAAATCCACTGCTGAACATAAGCCCCTTGGCAAGCGATTTCGTAACCGCAATTTTTTAATTTCTACTTGATATCAAGAAGACGCCGCAGTCCATCTACTAGTTTGATTCCCTCTGTAGCCTCTACACGGTCACTATACGAGGGCGACATTGGAAGTTTTTAGAACTGGCCACTTGTAAACGATACAATAAAAATAAGTTCAAATTTTGAAAATGGAACTCTGTCAATATTATTGTGTACGTAATTTATTACTTTTTCATTTGTTCGTCATTTACGATTTGGCGGCAAATCTAAAATTATCTATGTTACGTCAGTATGAATTTAACGCGAGAAAATTTTCGTACAACGATTTTTTATGATTTTCGACGTCATTTAAGTCAACAAGAAAGTTATGATAGAATTATGATCGATTGTCCTTTCACGATGAAGCCCCATCTCGTGCCACCGTTTATAACTGCTTAATGAGTTTGAACGTGGTCGCACTAATCTCACCGATGATCTGCGTGAGGGACGGCCTTCTACGGCGACGACTGAAGATAGCATCAGAGATGAGAGAGACTGACAAAGAGTGACTTATCAGCCGATTCGGACAAGCTTAGGCATCGGTGTGAGTCAAGTGCACAACATCCTCCATGAAACATTTAGCGCTCAGGAAGCTTTGAGTCTCGGTGGATACCTCATAATTTGACAAAGGCCAAAAAACTCCGTCATGTTGATTGGTGTCGTAAAATAGTTCAAAGTTTAACGGAGGTGACTCAAATGCTGTGTTCGTCATACTTACGGGTGACGAAAGCTGGATTTATTGTTATGATCCTGAAACTAAGAACCAGTCTGCTGTCTGGGTGTTTTCTTCCGAAGAGTTGCTAACTAAAGTGAAGAGAGGTCGAAGCGTGGGAAAAAAGATGGTGGCCTCGTTCTTCGGAACCTCGTATTTATTGTTTTAGAGGATCTAAAAACGGTTACTGCAGAGTGGTACACTAACGATTGTTTGCCATTTGTCTTGGAAAAATTTCGGGAGAAACGACCTCGCAGTAGAGTCCTCCTTCACCACGACAACACCTCGTCGCACACCGCAGAGCAAACAATCGACTACATGGCGACGTCAGACGTGGAATTACTGTATCACCCGCCCTATAGCCCCGACTTGGCACCTTGCGATTTTTATTTATTTCCGTAAATAAAAGAAAAACTTCGAGGAAAACGTTTTATGGACGCCGAGGAAGCAGTGGCTGCGTTTCAAAATGCTGTCGAAGAGACCTCTAAGGACGAGTGTGCAAAGTCCTTTTCTCAGTGGTTCCATTGGATGCAGCGATGCATTGATGTAAATGGACACTATTTTCAAAAGGTGTAATAAAACTAATAACTTTTAACGTTTGTTCAGTTTTTGATTTTCTAAGAATTTTCAATGTCACCCTCGTACACGGGGTTGGTTTATGGCATACTATACTATGTTAAATACTCGCTGCCCGCGGTGCAATAAAATGAGGAAATAAGAACCCGCCTATTGCGCTCCCTGTCGCAATTGCGACTTTACGGCGGGCCTGCCGTAATGCCCGTAAGTGCGACAGAAAGCGCAAAGCGCAACGAAACGTAAAAGTTATTAGTTTATTATATCTTTTGAAAATAGTGCCATTTAGACTGTGGGCAGCGAGTGTTTAACATTAGTAAAATCATAGTTTCCAAATTACAGACTCACCAGGTCCACAATGGTAGAAGAGTTGAGCGACAGCCATTACTACACCGGCGTTCCGACTCTGCAGCAACGGTTTCGCGGCTCTGAGCAGTAATCTTAAGTCCGGGTCTAGACTGGGAGACGCGGACTTGCGACCTGGACTTCCCGAGCTATCGGAATCGTAGAACGGTTTGTCGGCGGAGTCGTCGCTGGAGTAGTTCTGCAACGTAAATTACATAGTTAAATGTATATCAGTTTCTTTATAGTAAATGAGATAAATAGACTCAGTCCAAGTGTGTCCACAGCCTAAAAGAATCCCACGATAAAAATATAATGAAAGTGGATGGATATAAGTGACCCTGTAGTGGCGTTGTAAGAATATCCACTACAATATTATCCCGTGGATGTCGTAAGAGGCGACTGAGAGAAACAAATCACGAGATGGCATCCTCTTCTTAATAACAAATAAAAAACTGTCGTTGCCAACCCGTTTGCGAAGCGTGGCAACTATGGCGAATATCCCCCCTATGAGACAATTTATCGAAGGGGCCTATGTTCAGCAGTGGAATTTAATAGGCTGTAACTGTGAAACTTAATAGGCTGTAACTGTGAAACTTAATAGGCTGTAACTGTGAAACTTAATAGGCTGTAACTGTGAAATTTAATAGGCTGTAACTGTGAAATTTAATAGGCTGTAACTGTGAAACTTAATAGGCTGTAACTGTGAAACTTAATAGGCTGTAACTGTGAAACTTAATAGGCTGTAAGTGTGAAACTTAATAGGCTGTAACTGTGAAACTTAATAGGCTGTAACTGTGAAACTTAATAGGCTGTAACTGTGAAATTTAATAGGCTGTAACTGTGAAACTTAATAGGCTGTAACTGTGAAACTTAATAGGCTGTAACTGTGAAACTTAATAGGCTGTAACTGTGAAACTTAATAGGCTGTAACTGTGAAATTTAATAGGCTGTAACTGTGAAATTTAATAGGCTGTAACTGTGAAACTTAATAGGCTGTAACTGTGAAATTTAATAGGCTGTAACTGTGAAATTTAATAGGCTGTAACTGTGAAATTTAATAGGCTGTAACTGTGAAACTTAATAGGCTGTAACTGTGAAACTTAATAGGCTGTAACTGTGAAACTTAATAGGCTGTAACTGTGAAATTTAATAGGCTGTAACTGTGAAACTTAATAGGCTGTAACTGTGAAATTTAATAGGCTGTAACTGTGAAATTTAATAGGCTGTAACTGTGAAATTTAATAGGTTTGTTTCCCTCTGTCGTCTTTTACGATACCTACGGGGCGATGTGTCCTCCTGAAGGCAAATGACTACTGAACCACGTGGACAACTAGCTTAAAACAAACAAGGCCACAGATGAGTTTTCACAATCGAGGACAAATATCCAGAAATAAAAACAGAAAATATTGTATTCAATATAGATTATAAATAGTACTTAATTAAAGTCACTTTTTAATTTACCAATGGTTCGGAAAAAAACCTCTGTCCTGGGAAGAACCAGCAAGAAACCCAGTGGGAGTTTTTTTAAATAATGGCTTACAATCATGTATGTTACAATTAACAACACAAAATAAATAGCTTGGTAGCGATCACCTTTCCCAGGGGTTATTATCGTCCATAAATTCTTTAATATTATAATAAACATTTTTATACAAACTTACTTTAATAAAACTTTTGAAATTTGTGCAGGTCAAATTTTGTATATTTTCTGGGATTTTGTTGTAAAAGCGTAACATCGCCCCAAGAATTAATTACTGACTCGGTGGAGTCGAGTAACTGATACTAATAGCTTGTGTGTGTTCCTAGTATTTACAGAATGAATATCACTTATTTTTGTAAAACTACTTTTATTTTTGTGTACGTACATTACATTTTCATAAATGTATTTAGAGGCCAAAGTTAATATACTAATTTTAAATTTTTGTTTCAGCGACTCTAGGTTTTAAATCATAGATTGTACTAAGGGCCCACTTCTGTAAAAGAAATATAATTTCAGTGTCATAGCAAAATACCATACGACATTATGTGGTGAAAATAGCTGAAGTCTAGCTGTTTTAACAATGGTAAGACTTCTAATATTTTTACAGCTTGCTAGTTTTGATATATGGGGGCCCCACTGAAGCTCTACGTCTAGTTTGATTCCAAGAAAACTATGGCGTCGACAGGACCCAGCTCCTCCTCATATAAAATTACATTAGTATTAACATGTTTGACATTCGGAGTTATGAATTTCATACATTTAGTTTTAGTGTCATTTAAATGCAAATTATCAACATTAAACCAATTTAATAATTTAGATATAGTATTATTTACTTCGTCGTAATTTAGTAACTGTCATTTTAATTTGAAACTTAGTGAAGTGTCAGCAGTGTTCAATTAGGGAACATGAATAAAATAGGCGACTCACACGATAGGCAAATTGTTTATTTGAATAATCAAAATAAAAACTAATTTGGTGGCGATCGGGTCGCGAGCTATCGGCGAGTGACGGCCTTAGGCGCGGTGGTGTGAAAACCCCCGCGCTTCTCGTACTCCCCCGCGAACACCGTGGGTGCTGACGTAACGGCGCCGACATACTCCCGGCGCTGGAAAGCTTAACAGCTTTCAAGAACTTTCAACTCATCGGGCTTCGGTAGTAGAACGATTCTATTTAGGGCGCGACGCACAATTCCTCTTGCAGTGTCTATGTCTGCGACGCGTGTCCGTCAGTTCCCGTGAAGAAGTCTTCTTACACGTCCGAGACGCCAACAGAGCGGTGGAGCGTTTTCTTCTTTCAGCAGGACTAGGTCGTCAATTTGTAGGCTCTCTTTGGACTCCGTGCGCCACTTCGTCCTTAACTGCAGTTCCGCAATATATTCGTGGCTCCAGCGTCGCCAAAAGTGTTCTTTAAACTGCTCGATGCGCTGGAATCTGTCGAGACAATTGGCTTTATCGGATTGTAGACACGGAGATGACAGCGAGCTTAGTGGTCTACCAATTAAAAAGTGGCCCGGAGTTAAGGGATAATAGTCAGTAGGAGAGGAACTTAGTGGACATAGGGAGCGGCTGTTAAGGATGCATTCTATTTATATGAACAAGGATGACAATTCCTCATAGGTTAGGTGCGTAGTCCCTAATATCCTAGCCAGGTGAAATTTGGCTGACTTTACACCGGCCTCCATCAGACCATTGAAGTGAGGAGCGTATGCAGGCGAGAAACAAAATTCAACGCCTTCGTTGCAGGCAAAATCAGCGAAAACTTTGGCGTTACCTTCAAAAAACCTTTTAAGTTCCTTTGAAGCAGCAACAAAGTTTCCACCATTGACGCAGAATATCTGCTTTGGTAGCCCTCTTCGCGAAACAAAGCGTTTTAAAGTTAATATAAAAGCATCCTTGGACAGCTCACTAACAGCCTTCAAGTGGATGCACTTATACCTAAAACATATGAAAATACACAAGTAACATTTTGATACCCACGACCTTTGCGATCCGTGATCATAAATGGCCCAGCGAAATCAGTCCCTACTGTAATAAAGGGAAAGTCGGGCATTAGTCTTTGAGCAAGTAGGTTGCCCATTATGTTTTTCATAGGCTGACCCTTAAAACGCCTACATACGGTGCAATTATGCACAGTACGTCTAGCCAGACTTCTTCCACCTATGGGCCAAAAACACGTTCTAATAGAAGCTAGTAAGGCTTGAGGCCCTAGATGTAGAAGCCGTACGTGTTCTTGTTGGAATAAAAGTTGGGTAAAATGGTGTTTAGCAACACTGGATGTGCCTTAACTTCCGGCAAATTCTTCATCCCAATAATAGTCTGCGACTGCATAGAAGGCCACTCGGACTCAGGCAACAATAAAAACTTAGGTCCATACCACCACATTTCACATGCAGCGATTTGTTGTGGGTTAACGCCACGGGATAGTGGGTCTGCTGGGTTATGTTCTGTAGGAACGTGGTGCCATGAATTAGCGTCAGTCAATTCTTTAATGGCGGCGACTCTGTTGGCAACGAATGCTTTCAAGTTAGAAGAACCGCAGCGCAACCAACTAAGAACTACGCTCGAGTCAGTCCAATAGACATGACGCGATATTTTAGGTCGTAAGGCCTTTGTCACAGTTGAGCTCATTTCAGCTGCAAGAAGAGCACCTGAAAGCTCCAAATGAGGAATTGTAATAGGGCTGGATGCTGGGACAACGCGAGATTTCGCACATAAGATTTGGACGTGTACTTGTCCTTCTTTATTTGTAGATCGAAGGTACAAACACGCTCCATAGGCGCGTTGCGATGCATCGCAAAAACAGTGGATTTCAAAAGAGACTGGATATTCTATTGATACCCATCTAGGTATATTTAGTGAAGAAAGACATTTAAGTCCTTCAACAAAAGGTCTCCAAAGATCGACGATTTCTTTTGGAGCGGGCTCATCCCAGTCCAATTTGAGAGACCATAAGGTCTGTATTAAAATTTTGGGAACGATGGTGGACAAGGATAGGAGCCCCAAGGGATCGAAGAGCTTGAAAGTGGAAGAAAGAATGGAGCGCTTAGTGACGACCTCAGACTGATTCACTGCGATGGGAAAGTTAATACTGTCGGATGAAGGACTCCAATTCAGGCCCAGCGTATTTGTAGACTGACTCAATGTCAGGATGCCGGATGACTGGACAACATCTGAAGGCAGTAAAGAAGGTAAGTTGGATCAGTACTTACGTAAATTAAAACCAGCCCTAGAAAGTCTCATGTGCTGATTTTTGTATAGACCGTAATTGATCTTCATCATCGCTAGAAGTTAGTAAGTCATCAATATACATGTCTCCTGTATGACTGCCTTAATCACGTCATCGTCACACTCCCACTCCAGAGACACCTGGTGCCAAGGAAACTAGCGCTAGCAAATCCGTAGGTGACCGTGTTAAGCCTGAGTGTTTGTAATGGTTTGTCCTCCGCATCACGCCATAAAATCAGCTGTAGGTTTCGGTCAGACTCATTTACTAAAACCTGCCGGTACATTTTTTCAATATCCGCTGACAACACATAACGATGTTGCCGGAACCGGATGAGGATATTGAAAAGAGAGTCTTGAACTGTAGGGCCTTTTTTTTTAACATGGGGAAATGCCTACGCATACCCGCCTCGCGGGGGCAAGGACGGGTTATGTCGGACTCGCACCGACTAAAACCCCATGGTGTTCCACCTTCGTCGCATATTGACAGGGCTACGG